CGAACGATTTAAAAAAGTTGGAAAATGCCCAGCCTTACTTAAAATACAAGTAGTGTAAACATGAGTATGGGAAAGTTACCAATAAATAAAGCAACTGAAAACTTGTTTCTTTCTTTGGCGAATAATTTTACAATTGCCATTACAAGAAGATATAAAAGAGAAGACACAATTTAACCTTGAGATCATCATAGTATTTAGTTTCAGGTCGTCTTTACAGTCTCACTCTTTTTTCAGGGTAACCCGGTACATTTTGGATACAAGTTTAGAATAAAAAGTCCACAGTCTTCTGAACACGTGTCTGCGATCTGGGTTGGATTAAAAATGTCCTCACAATTTTGTTTTTGTAATTTAAAGCAAACAAACCCACACTTCAATCTTCATTCAAACATTTTCCACCTTTCACATTCAATACAATAGGCTTACATGATGCTTTGACACCATTTCTAGTATTATTTGCTTGTGGGTTCATCATACATCGATTCAGCCATTTTAAAGTTCATTGAATACAAACAACCAAGGTTTATATTTAAATGCTAAAGTGCAGTAGCGTTTCTTTGAAGATATACTAAATTATAAAAGATAGGAAGTTAAAATATCGCTGATCTTTTTGTTTTTATAATTGCAGATTTCTAAGAAACGATTCAACTTTAGAAAAATCTATTTTTCAATCTAATTGCAGCCCAGGGCGTATACAGAAATAAATGTAGGGGGCGGGCATAACCGGAAATTCAAAACATTTGGCTTCTTTGATATCAGGCATAAGTATAAAATACTTTAAAGGTACACATAAAGGTTCAAAAAAGCATTGTTTCTAAAAAATCGACATTTTATTATGCTGTTATGTTAATAATAGTTAGTATTTAAACTAGAGATAGTAAAAGACATTTTTGAAAATGAAAAACTCAACTTAAACTTAAATTCTGAATGAACAGCAAACTATTTTTTTATGTTCTTCTCTCTTCAATAAGATTTGAAAAGTGTGAAAGCCCTTGATTGCAACCATAAGTGAATTCAGTGAATGAATGTACTCAGTCAATTTTTACTTGCACCAGTAGCGGACAATTTGTATGACACGAAAAATAGCATTAAAAGCATGAATGATGTCTGAAAAATAGCATTAAAAGCATGAATGATGTCTGAAAAATAGCATTAAAAGCATGAATGATGTCTGAAAAAAAACATAAGCATGAAAACCTTCAGTCATGGTTCTCCTAAAATCTTAAAATTTGAATTTTAGAAAACTCAACCTGCAACCAGTGGGATGAGTTTAAGGAATAAATTTTATTTTGTCCCAATGTTGATGAAAATCATTAATTTATTTTAAAAAAGAGGGAAAAGGGTAAGTTTCTCTAAATGAAAGAAATGATTTTAATTAAATATGTTCAAACATAAATAAATAAAAATGGCCAAATCATTAATTGCAGTCAATTTTTTAAATTGGAAGAAAAAATTACCTGTAAAATATACTATAAATTACCTGTAAAATATACTATTAATTACCTGTAAAATATACTATTAATTACCTGTAAAATATACTTTTATAAAACAAATTTAATTTCTTAATGCTCTTCCCTTTTCACGTTTCGTTTCCGTTCTTCTATTTTGTCTCAGGGGCTGAAATATATATAGATAAAGATAAATCCCCCCCCCGTCTTTCCCCTTCCATCCAATCGAGTTACATTTTCACCATGAATGCTTTACTGCAAATAAAATGGTTTTTCTTTAATGTCAAGAACATGAAACTCGGAACAACTTTTACAGGGTGTAGACTAGGGTTTCCACCTACAAAGGAAAACCGTTTCGAGAAAATTTCGCATTTTTTATTCTGTTTCGCGAAAAAATATGAAATTTTCGCCACATATGAAATGCGAAAATTTCGCGAAAAAATACGGATACGGAGTTTAAATGTAAAATGCTAAATTTTTGCGAAAATTCATCAAAAAAGACAAAATTTTGAGAATAAAAGATGCATATTCTGCGAAAATTTTCGCAACATTTTTTCTCGCGAAATTTCGCGAAAAAGTTTGCGAAATACAAACGAAAATTTTCGCTTTTTTTGCTAAACATTTCGTTCGCTAGAAACCCTAGTGTAGACTGCAGGTTCACTATATAACTTAGAATTGTGCTGCAGAATCAGAGCTGGCAACTTTAATACTGTGGAGTTGATAATCTGCAGATTAATTTAGTCCTTATTAGAAACTAATATCTTAGGAACCCCGCGCTGTCCAGGTAGGTTACTCGTAGTTAATACCGCCGTTTACCCGCACTTACTCGATTTTAATTGGGAGCTACACTTAAAATCTTAAAACTTGGCTTAGAAAATCCCCGTCGTTTTCCCAAGTTCCCAAATGAGAATTTGAGGTAAATCGGCCGAGGACTTCCTGAGTTATGATCGGACAAACAGACAGACAAACATAGATTACTACTTTATGCATAGATTCCGCATGGTAATCGCACACTTGATGAATAACTGACAAGAAGAGAAGGCATTGGCCCTCAAATTATAATTTTGACCTATGTACTAATAGCTAAGTATTAATTACAAACTATATTACAAGAATTTGAAACTAAATTTGCTCACGAGCAACCAAATTTTTATCATTTATGCGTAGTATTTATTGTTTATACATAAAGATTTATTTATAATTTTCATTAAGTACAATTGAGGGATAAGAAAAGTGAAACTAGGGAGTAACAAAATCGAAGATTTTAGGAGGGGGGGGGGGGTAAGTGGCAAATCAGATTAACAACAGTACCCTAGGACTATTTATTTATTCAACATTGAGGAAAATATCGTTGATTTTGTCTTTAAAAGTATTAAATTCTGTTAACTAAGTTATTTGTCTCTTCTGCATAAAATCCGCAAGTGAGTTTAAAACACAGATAACCACTAATAGAAATTTAAATTAGATAAAAATAAGCATAGCCACTGAGGGGGGGGGATAACTGCAAGGTTCAAAATAATAAGCATCGAAAGAGGGGTCATAACGCGCCGTCGCCAAGATATCCTCGATAACAAATTTATGAATATATGTCATTGATGAAGATTGAAGAGTTTTAAATTCAAGTTAGTTAATTAAGAATTAATTGATTAATTAAACATTTTAATTGGGCAGGGTGGACTATATTTCTTTGAAAATAATGAATGGTTCCCTTTCTAGGAAACTCCATGTTCATTTTAATTGGAACAGAAACGCAACCTTTTATTTGATGAATAAAATAAAATAAATTTTTCATTATATTCTGAAGATCAAGACATGAAATGAAATGGAATTACTTTTGTTCATTATTGATACGACTCTTATAACAAGGAGCTTTCCTTGGGTTCCCACTAATTGTGATGAAGTATAACATCTGTATTTATTTAACCTTTATTTAACCTCCAAAAATTTAGATTTTTAAAAGTTTTAAATCCACTAATAAATACAAAAAATGCTAAACTTTATAATCTACTAAATGCACGACGAAAAAATGTGTTCCGAGCTGAGAACTTTTGTGTTGTGGATATCGAGATCAATTCTTGATCCCCTAACTTATATAAATCTGTATTCAATATCCTGTGAAAAGCCAACCAGAAGCCTAGGAATTTTGCATTTAACCAATGAAAGAACAGAAAAATTGCGGATATCCAAAATCATGATATCAGACAGATTCTGCTTAAAATTCACCAGTGCCAATAGTGGATATCAAGATCATAATATATGATGAAGATTATGGTTAACAAACAGTAACCTGAGGTCCAGGGTTACTCGCAAAGGATATGAGTTCAAGGGCGGACTATACCGATATCTCAGATTTGAACCCCCCCCCCCCTAAAAGTTTTAAAAAAAGAAAAATTTCCAATTTCTTATTTATTATCACATATCAAAAATGAAACATGAAAAGAGAAATAAGTATTTTTTCGGTAATTAAGAAATAAACAATTAAGTCGCTGTCCAATTTATAATTTGAATAGGAATTTAATCTGTTTACAAATTAAAACGAGTTTTCCATAATGAACAATATGGAACATTTTAAACATTTTCCCATATTGAATCAAAAGTAATAATGTTGGTGATTATCTATTCTTTTTGGAGTGCTTACTAATAATTCAATAAACCCTTTTTATTACGAGTTATGTGAATTTTTACAGTGATACCAGAAAAGACGACTTTTAATCTTAAGTTAGGACTTAAATTAGTCCAATTAACATCAGACATAACAATTGTACAGTGTAAATAAAATAATTTCACCTAAATTTTGCTTTGCTAAGTTACTATTAAACTTGCTTTGTAAAATCATCAACACGCTGAAGATTGCTGTCGTCATTCTGTTCCATTGTTTTCTGGCTATCACTGTATGAGTAAACAGTTTTATATTTCAGTTCAGGTCCTTTGTTCAATACTATTTTCGGTGTGTCTTTCATCCCTTGATGCTTTTAATTCATTTCATGAATTTCCCGAAGGGGGGGGGCGGCTATACATAATTTATATTCATGATTCCCTGAAGATATAAGCTTGTTCCTTCCTCTGATAAATTATCAAATAATCCATTAAAATATATTCAAGACAGAAGACTTAATTTTCCTTAGAATCCTCATACTTTCAGTTTCATGTCGTCTTCACAGTCTTATTCTTTGTGGGTAACCCTGAACACGAAACGTCCTTTCAGCTTAGGTATTTTTTATAATACACTGTATATTGTATAAAGAGTTAAACAAGAGTTAAATTTTAATTTCTGTATTTCAAAGATTTACTAGAACAAAATATTGTTTTACGCTGGCAGCAGGATTTAAATATTTACGATAAGTCAATCCACCGAGATAGTTTAAGAATTGTGTACACTCAAGTTTAAGATGTATATACTGTACAGTTGGAAAATTATAGCAGCCTTATAAAATTGTACAGCGGACGACTGACAGTACAAAATCCTATCTTATTTCAAGCTTTCTTAAATACAAAATGTACGCTGCATCATGGTAGAATTAGCAAACTAAATAATTAATTTAATTCTGCACAATGTAATGGTGTACATGTTTATTAAGGAACAAACTAATAGACAGAGAAAGATATCCCTGAATCTTATCAACTATGTATACAACATTATTTACAAAAAAAACACTAGATGAAATTATATTTCGTAATTTCAGGTATTTGCTGTTGAGAGGTAAGGAGAATTACTTTACTGCTTTCAGCTTCAAGCAGACGAATGTCGCGTGAAAATATTTTTAAGATTGCGTTTACAATTTTAAACACATCAATTGAAAATTTGTATTTCTCCTTAACTTTTCTCCCTTTCATTCAATAATATTTTGTTGCACGACAAATTACGGAAGATTAAAAAAATAGAATACAAAGATTTTGTTTCGCAAGTACAGCGTACTATTTTCAACGAATTGTTTGAAAGTAAAACGATAAATAAAAAGTCTCATTAGCGACATTATGCTATTACTCGAGTATTAAATACTGTGTCAAAGGCAATTAAACCCCCGCTCCCCGTATAATGAATGTTTTCTGTTAGGTAAGTAAATTTTTCAAAGTTTAACAAATTTTAGTTAAAAAAGAAAAATATTGACTAGGGTTCCAAAGTTGCGATTACGAGATTGTGATCGAAAGAACGCTAGAAACATTCTACGTCATTATTTAAAAATTATATTTAAGAAGTATGAAACCTTTGTCAATTCTATAAATGAATAATCTTATCATAGTTAAATTGACTTGAATGAATGTGTTTGAAGATTAAACACCCCAGGAGCTAGTGTCATTATCTATATAATGTACTGGAGTGAATACCCCCCCCCCCTTAAACAACGCGTATTAAGTTATCCTGTTCCTTTCTTCTTAAATAAAACCCTGGACCACTTAAAGAAAAAAGTCAGTTTAAATGTAGTTTTTAATTTGGAATTTTATAATTTTGTTTTAAATTTTTCAGTTTAATATATACACTAAGAATTTAGTAGAAAATACATGTTTAATAGTATTAATAGTATTATTAGTATCATAAATACAATGTCGCCCAATTTTTAACAACATAATAATAATTACTTTGAGCGTAGTCCCCCCCCCCTCCTCCCCCGCGCAGGCAATCATTTTACGTTGCTTTTATTTTCTTAGCTTGGGGCTGCATATCTTCAGTTTCTGCTGCGGGCTCATCATCACTGTCAGAATCATAATCCACCAGGGATCCCAGGCGCTTCGCGGCATTCGTCTCAGATTCAGATTCAACTTCCTTCCCGTTGGGAGTATCAGGACCCACCACCTTCTCCTTAGCTGCTAGCTCTTTGATCTTGTCCTGCTCCATCAACCTGTCAATGGTTGGGATAAGGTCGGGTGCAGTGCTCTGAGTAACTTTGTTCTCCTCAAGGACGGGTAGGCAGGAGGGAGAGGGTCCAACAATGTCTAGAAATAATAATTTTGAAAATTTTAATGAAATAATTTGTAAAATGTAAGTGTAGGTATCATATACCCCATTATACTTTTTTGGAATTATCGCGCGACTATCTTACTATCTTAACCTAACCTAGTCTGGAGAAGTGTTATCTCGCTAAGATGCCAAAAAATGATGGAATGGCGGTGGGTCATGAGAGTGACGGGGACCAAATAATCAGTTTTTAAAAAGCAGATTATGTCAAATTTTGAAGTGCCTCGGATTCATTTTATTTTGACCCGGTTTTAACCTTAAAAAATACGGAAGGAGTAGCTCAGAAATACGTTTTTTTTTTTTTTACCTAAACTTATTTAGCCTATGAGATATAAGATATCAGCAGCGTATAAATATCCAAAACTTTTTTCGTGTTTTGAGGGAAGTAAATTCTTCGATCTAGGACCATGGATTAGGGGATCGCAAATTTTACGGGCCCGGATCGAAAGAGCCAAAATGTTGCTTTACTTACTTTCGTCGAGTTCGTCTTCGTCCTCGTTAAACCACATTTCTTCGTCTTCGTCCACTGCTCTCTCATCCCTCCTAAACCTGGATAAAGCATATTTTAGTTCTTCATGAAATAAAGGATGATGAAAACCATGAAATATTCATGATTTCAACTCTTAGCAACAGGTTCTACCATTCCTTCACTTATCGTTAGATATTAAAATGTATTCTGAAGTGTGTCTACACTTTTACAGGATTAACAACAAAGGATGAAACTGAACGGAAATTGACCCTTTATTTTCCAATATTCATAGTTCCCTGAAATTGTTTACCAATTTCTTTCATCAAGTATATAATTCAAATACTTTATGTAAGTCATAAAACAAAATTCAGCTTTTAGATCGGCAGCGAATTTAACTCAGAAGGTATTCTACCCAGTGCAGGGGTGTATATTTTCTTTAAAAATCATTCCTCTCTTTGGAAATAACATTTTCCCTGTAAAAAGGTATGATTGCACTGAACACGCAAAAAAAATCAGGGGTTATGTTCGATGAATTGGGGAAATAAAATTTTTAAGGGAAACTAATTAAAAAACGTATTAAAATTTTGAGAAAACTTTTTCATTACCCCCGACCCCACCCTCCATACCCCTGTTTCTTACCTTGATCCTGGAGTACCCCTGAGTATGCTTGTAACAGGTTCAATTGTTCCTCTATCCTTGATTCTATCCTGATGTTGATCATAGCGAAGCTTCAGGGTTTTGAACGTCTAAAAAAATAATATTAAAGGGACTGTATGCGTAATTCCAGTGTCCCTCCAATCAAGGATGGCAATGCCCCATTCACACCGGTGACTTGCGCCTTTCTACGTCAGGAAAACATAAAGGAGTTATCATAACTTAAGACTTTTAAACTATGTTAAACGAAGACAATCTGACAAACCTTTATCAGATCAAAAACCTGGAAAATATTGTCGTTCTTCTTGCTTTAAAAAGTGTTAGCACAATTACATTTGAAATCAATTAGTTTTTGAACCGATTAACATATTTATTAGTCTTTGCAGAGCCCGCGATTTAAAAAACTCGGGAAAATACGGCTCGGGTCTGAGCTGTCGTTGGACCTTATTTACGACTTTAGCTTTCGGATTCAAGCTGCATCTTATTTTCTACAGAGTTGAGTTCAGAAAACCGGTTTAATATTCTATTTGGCGGATTTTCATGGTAGGAATTGGCGCATTCACAGTTTTTATGAGAACAAGACGCAACATTGAGACTTATTCTCCACTAAAACCATCCAAGGTCGGTTTTATTTTCATTGGGCTTAACTCCTAAAGTCGAGCCGAAGATCTTGCAACTGTCAATCACGTGACACTCAGAGTTGGGTCAAAGATTGGGCCTAAAAGTCGGGTTTAAGGAATTACGGCTCGAGCCGAAGTTTATAAATCGCGGGCTCTGATCAGCGAAGCTTTTAAGGATACTTTTGTGATTATCCCTCCAGTCCCTTAAATCTCACAATGTCAACAATATCATTTCAGAATTCTTTTTTACGCCTTTAGAGAAAAATAAATTAACCATGATTCCCGGGATTTATTTATTTTAAGAAAACCTTGGGGGTGGTTATTTTCCTTAATCTCCCTGGGGAAATGGTTTTTAGTCAAATCGTCTTGGGAACCTTCGATAATAATTTTTTACAACTACTTTACAGGGAAGTTAAGAAAATTTTACCAAGAGTTTCCAAGACCAATTTTGCTAACAAAACATCCAGAGCGAACAAGTAGTTGTACTCAATTTTATCGTCTTTTGAGATGAAAATACTAGAATTTTTTCTCGGAAACTTTGCAGAGCGGGTGGTTATTTTACACAACTATCTCAAGATAAGTTTTAATTAACTTAATTTCCTTCTGATGGGGGGGGGGGGGGTCATATGTCGGTAATGTTAGTCAAAAAGCGGTAAAATAATGAATAACAAGAGGAACAAGACGAACAATAGGAGACAAGAGGAGACAAGAGGAAAAAGGGGAACAAGAAGAACAAGAAGAACAAGAGGAACAAGAGGAACAAGAGGAACAAGACGATCAATAGGAGACAAGAGGAGACAAGAGGAACAAGAGGAACAAAAAGAACAAAAAGAACAAAAAGAACAAAAATAAAAGAAAGAGGAATATGAGATATGACCATTGAAAAGGCATATAAATGAGAAAGAGAAATTAAATGTGTATCAAATTTCACAACTTTTACCATGATTGTAAATGCAAAAAATGAGTAACTAAAAATTAGGAAAAATAACTTTTCCATCAAGAAATACGGATCAAAAGATCAAGAAATGCCCCCCCCCCCCGTTCTACTTTTTACCCTGTCTAAGATAATTTTCTCCTAATAATCTTGAATGTTTTCCCCCTTTGCAAAAATAAGTCGACATTATAATTTCTAGGATAGAAACTAAATTATTCATTACGTAAGAGCTCATCTTGCAACAAAGAAAAGTATAGTTGATAAAAAATTGTTTGTTTGTTTTTAATAGCAAATATACTTTTTATTCAAGTTATTCTTTCATTTTCTTTTATGTTTTACTTATTTTTTATTCCGATATCTTTCTTTGATTCCCTATTTACATTTAGATTATTGTTCCCATTTTTCTGTTCTCCAATTTCCCTCCAAATTCCAATTTCCCCAACTAATTTCATGTTCCCATTTTTTTGTTATCTGCTTCTTAAATGTTCCCATTTCCCATTTCCTTAAAGGTTTTATTCAATTTTGATGGAATTTATCACACCTAATATTTCCCGTTGACGGGTGATTAGGTGACTTTATTGCCCAACAACAGGGCGAAATAGTAACCTTTTCACACTGCTATTAAAATATTAAATTTCTTACCTAATTTTTCTCATTGTAGGGTAAAAAAGTTACTTAACTTTATCGACCTGCTTTTAAATAATTTGACTAAAATTGAATAAAACTATATATGTTGTGGAAATGGGTACGAAAAAGTTTTGGCTGTGACGTTCGTTCGGTGTGAAAATACTTTCATTTTGATCTTAAACTAACTAGCAAAAAATAAAAATCCCGGCAGAAACTTTTTTGCACTTAATAATACCCATTACAATGACATAAACAGATGTTATGCCGTTGTACTCATTTTTTTATGTTTTTGTTCGCATTTTATTTTTGATTAACTATTTCTAAATATTTCCCTCCCCCTCTACTTTTTCTAACCAAGAGCAGAAAAGTATTGCAATGCTTATTATCAATCTAGAATCCCAGCGGTATAAAAAGAAATAGTGTTTCTTACAAATATCCCTCTCGAATTATTTTTAAAAACAAAAACTAAATCCAATAAGAATAATATAATAATTATCCCCAAAGATGGTCCATTAGTATGTATATTACTTGGATTATCCCTGTCAAATAATGAATCCTTTATTTGCCGTCTAACCACAAGAAAGTAAATACCGTGCCCCCCCCCCTTCCCTTCGTATTCCCCAACCAATTATATAAACCCCCTTTATTTCCCCATACAGAAGTACTCTTTACTGATTCTTTCTTATACAACCAAGAATAAAAAGATGAATGAATCAATGAATGGATAAAAAGATGAATGAATCAATGAATGGATAAAAAGATGAATGAATCAATGAATGGATAAAAGGATGATTGAATAAATGAATGAATGAGAAAGGATGAATAAAAAATGAACTAATGAATGAATTGATAAATTAAAGGATGAATGAATGAATGAATGAATGAATGAATATAAGGAAGGATGAAAAAAGGATATAAGGATGAAAGAATGAGAGAAAGGATGAAGAAATGAATGAATTAATAAATGCATTAATGAATGAATTAATCAATTAAAGGATAAATGAATGAATACAAATAAATTAAAAATGAAAAAATGAATTAAAAAAGACTGCATCAAAGAGGGAATGAATAAATGAATAAATGAACCAAAAGAAAGGATTTAATAGATATTTTTAAATAACCTATTACAGTAGAAAATTATGTTCAAAATGTTATGATTTTCTGCAAAAAAAAAAGTTATCGGGGTTTCAACGTATAATTTTAATAAGTGGCAAATTTGGAAATCTTTGCCTATTTTTATACAATTATGATAAACAGAGATTTATGGATTTCCTCTGAACAATTACGCTAAGGAGAGTGCAACTTATCTTTATTGGAAAGACCTAATATTTGTGGTGCGAAATGTTTAAATTGTCCTTATTTTTCCCATCTTTTTGATTCTTATGTCAAAATAAATAAATAAATGATTTTTCCACAGTCACTCAATAAAATTTCAGGGAAAAATATAAACCCCTGACGTTGATATAAAAAGAAACTCCTTGGTTATAAAACGACAAGATTGAATTTAGGCTGACAAGCAAGGCAGAGCATATTAGAGGTTTAATGGACTTCTGGAGAATTCAACAAAACAACATTTTACATCCAGGAGGTTTAATATCTGGCTTCCCGCCCACCTTCTAATGTAAAGTAAGCCTAAATTGTTTTTTTTTCCTCTTAAAAATAGGTAATTTTTTACATTTTATTCAAAAATTTCCCTCAAATATACTCAGTTTTGGAAAGAACTCTGTTAAACATGAATTGAAAACTGAACATTGTACATTGTACATTATGTTTTTAACATTTGAAGAAATTAACCCACCACCCCTCGATGGCCCAGTAAAATAAAACCTTTATATTCATTGAAAAAGGAAAAGTGGTATAGTGATGCACATGTGCAAAATTTCATTAATTTTGCTCAATAAACGATCCACCCGTACATAAATCCAAATTGTTCATAGTAACTCTCTCCTTCAGCCCAAAAACAAAAAGTTGAAAGAAAGATAAAAATTTCTCACCTTAATAATGTATCTGTTGTAGAATTCGTCCTTGAGCCCGATTATTTTGCGCATGAACCTGAGTGCGAAGAGCTTGAGGAAGGTGTGCCGGGACTTTATGAGGACAAGGATACGTCTAAAAACGCACATTTGTCAGAATATTGACATGAAGACGACATTAACACAATACGTAGGTGCATTTGATGTCTTTACAAAGCAAATGGTTTTACTTGTAACTTAATAAATCACTTATATAGTGAAATGGGTCTGTTAACACTGCATAATTGCCATGCCTCATGTTTTTTTTAAGTCATTTCTAGAGTCTAAAAGTCGTCTTCCTATTCCACAGGAATTTGGTTCTTACTGCAAGTATCTGGTGTTGAAAATGGTCTTGGTTCGTTTTTTAAAAAGTTAAATAAAACTTTGAAGATAAAAAACTAGTTTCTCTTAATTTTTGCTTTGATTAAATTTTGCAATATCTTTTAATAAAAAATATAAAAAGGACCGATCATTAAAACACCTTTTTTGGGTTCCTTTTTTTCCATGTATTTTCTGTAAGGGTAAAAATTGACTTTTTGTAAGAAAATCAAATGTTGAAACATTTATGCAAATTTAGACCCTGAAATAAAATGTCGACTCAAAAGCAAACCAAAAACGAACACTATATGTATCGACTGTGTCAATGCTTTGAAATAAAAGAAATGATTTCGCGCCACAATTTAGACATTTTCGAATTCCTGTAAGTTTGTAAGTCGCATAATTGTGAAATATCAACAGTTTTACACCATTTGAAAGCAAAGATAAAAGGATTAGAAAATAAGACGATTGTTCCGTATTAAAACATAATACCATAAACAACACTGAAAAATATTGTAAATCATCATTAGAAACAACATGAAAATTGGAAAATAATAAAGAAGTCATTTTTATCATGAATAAAAACTATTTTATATTTACTCCAAATTATTGTAAGATAAAAATTAAATAAAAATAATGATATATTAAAAAAGTGACATTCACATTTTAACCAGACTAGAATTTTTTAATATTTCTTCAGCATTTGTTCATGAAAAGATTTCTCCTTGAATACCTGAGCAGATCCTTGTGTAGAATATAGTTCTTAATATGGTAAGTATGGTGCTCGACGAAAAACGTGAGGAGTTCAATGATTAATCCTAGAACTTGAACAGTACAGCTATCGCACTTTTCAGGTCTAAAAAAAAAAAAAAAACATTTAATGAGGAGAATTTTCAACTGTAGGTATTTGATCAGATCAAAAAGCATTAATCTATATGTTTTTGGGTTATCCATTTCTGTATATATTTATAAATGTTGATAAGAAATCGCAAAAATATGTATTTTTATGGATTTTTCATTTTAAACGTTTCAAATAAATATCGATTTTAGGTGCTGTTGATTAGCGCCATTTCGATCAACAGTTCTTACATCAGGAAAATAATTTTTTTAATTCTTTTAAATTAAGAAATATAATGCACGTCATTCTTTGGGGAAATATTAATAAATATATTTATAGTTATATCTGTGAGAATGAGATAAAAAAGATCATATTAATTAAGCTGATTATATATTATATATCTCATATTATTTTTATGTAGAGCATCACATTTTTCTCCTGAGGACAAAGCGTTTGTACGATTGAACTCAATATCTACTTGAACCTGAGGGTTAAAGTCATGAGTTGTACTTGTCTAAACCCCAGAAAACCATTGAGGTATTCATTATCAAAGGTTAAACCATCGGCTGGGCATTGAAGACACAAAAGTTTGATTCTCAATATTAACAAATTAATATTGATTTATTACGTAATAAACATCTAAATATTTACAAATTCCATATATAAGCCCCCGCCACACAACTAGTACTGAAGAAATGAAAAACTAGTGAAAATTAAAGGGACTGTCCACATAGTTTTATGTGACTCTCAATCTAAAGCATCTCATGTCTAGTTGACAACAGTACCTTTAGACCTTTATATGTTTATGTTACATAATTATCCACGAGTCACTTGAAAACCGCAGTGGAAAAAGTTTAAGTTTCAAAGAGAAAAATATGGATAACTCTATAATTTGTGTCGGAAAAGGGGTAGCATTGTGATTAAATAGGGAGGGTCTAGTTACATCGACAAACCCTTTAACTAAAAGGAAGTGTGGTGAAAAATTAAAGGAGCTGCAGGGTGACCCAAAAAACAGGGATTAGCGTTTATAAGCCCCAATAATCGTTTAAAAGAACTCGAAAATGTACTCCAGCATATTGTTTTTAATCTACTCGAAAATGAACTCTAGCATACAATTTTTAATGTTGGAAGGGGTCGTTTAAGCAAGTTTTTGTCGTTCGATCCCTAAGTAGAATATTCGAAAATCTCTCCGTTAACTTCAGCTAACCAACATTTTTTCAGAAATATAAAAATGTATTTACATATATTATATCTTAACCCTCTTAGATTTTTCTGCTCGGATTTCTGAAATCTAAGGTGTATACGTAGTCTTAAACCTAGAACTTTATGAAGAGAAACATAAAAAGAGAGGTTGCAGCAATCCCGGCCCAATGGTTGCGAACAGTTTGATGGACCTTAAAAATAGGTGGGGCCTCTCTAAGCATATTGTTTATCTCTCTGCAATATAGATTTGAATAGAATGATAAAAATTATTAATTGTTCGAAGTAAACAAAGAGGTTTTCGAACATTTGACATAATTTCACGCCAAACTTTATGAGGCTTAATAAGGCTAATCCTTGTTTTTTTGGTCACCCTATAAATAATGTAGCTTTAAAAAATAAGAAAAGAAAATAACCTAAGTGTTGAAACTTGTGTGTGTTAAATCTGTGATTACTTGGCTTTCCCATTGACGGCTAAACTTTAGACCCAGGATATATTAATTATAGACAATTTCACCCGATTAGACCCAGGATATATTAATTGCGCTGTTATACGACAATTTCACCCGATTGAGTTGAGCTTTGGAAGCTAAGCGATAAGAAGACCTTTAAATCACTGAATTAAAACGCAAGATTTAAATCTTTTATTCCAAGAAGTTTCTATTTTAAAATCCTAAAGCTTAAGCTAAGTTTAAAATTCTATTTCGAGATATTGAAACTAATCAAAATACAAGATAATTACAGGATAAAAATATCTCAGAAAAGCTCAGAATTAAACAATATTTTCTGTACTGCATTCATGCACACATTAAATCGAACACCTCTGCAGTCTGCTTTAATTTTTAAAGGGGAATGTCCACATTTCCATACAAAGGGTGGGAAGGGGGGGGGGGCTTTCTGACTTTGTTTTTAGAGATATCTCTCTGATTTTTGGCACGCAGGCCTGAATTGTGATCTGGTTTTTTAATCAAAAACCAAAGTGGGGGAAGAATAATTTTTCCCTTAATTTTTCCCGCATTTTTCAGACATTTTAAAAAAAACTTTGTGTTAGGTCCATGTGGGGTGTCTAAAGTCATCTACATTGGGTCGGGTAACTCAATTCTGGATCTTATAATGCATTTCCCCCTCTCCTCATACCATTTACCCCCCCCTTTCCCGCATTTTCCCCCTCCTTAAGGCCAAAGAAGCCTTCTGACTTTATAACTAGAGATTTCTCTCTGATTTTTTGCATGCAGACCTCAATTGTGATCTAGTTTTTGAATCAAAACAACAAAGTGGGGGAAAAATAATTTTTTCCCTGATTTTTCCCGCATTTTCCGGACATCCCCCTTTGATTGAGTATAATTAAAGTGGTGAAATGCTATACACTAAATCTATTAGCATTTATGGTTTGTCTGTTTTTATCCAATAAATGACAAAATGGTTTGTGACCTGTTAGAATAAAATATATAATTTTTGTAAATTTTGTAAATCCGCAAATAAAAAAGAAAAATCTGCGAATTTTTTAATCGTTTTACGACAAACTATGCAAAGCACTCTGTAAACCTTGAAGTAACCCTTATTTACCTTTCATGTACTGTACTTGAAAGAAGAGGAGCAACGAATACATGCATACAGTGTTTGTAGAAGTGATTGAGGAAGTCCGTCTTCTCACTTTTGTTTACGCTGGCCAACATGTTCTCAGGGTCCAACAAGGTCTTGATGATTCCTTGCAGCTGTACACTGGCTCCCATATCTGGTACTAAACATCATATACTTGTATACTAGTTCCCATATCTGGTACTAAACATTATATACTAGTATACTAGCTTCCATATCTGGTACTAAACATTATATACTTGTATACTAGTTCCCATATCTGGTACTTAACATTATATACTAGTATACTAGTTCCCATATCTGGTACTAAACATTATATAAGGAAGGAATCATAAGGAAGTGAAATCTGCAAGAGACCCCATAGTGGGCCCCCAGACCGCCCAGGCAGCAGGGTGCACTGCCCCGCCCCTGTTCTAACTATATACTTGTGTATACTAGCTCCCATATCTGGTACTAAACATTATATACTTGTGTATACTAGTTCCCATATCTGGAACTAAACATTATATACTTGTATATACTAGCTCCCATATCTGGTACTAAACATTTTATACTGTATATACTAGCTCCCATATCTGGTACTAAACATTATATACTTGTATACTAGCTCCCATATCTGGTATTAAACATTATATACTTGTGTATACTAGCTCCCATATCTGGTACTAAACATTATATAATTGTATACTTTCTCTCATATCTGGTACTAAACATTATATACTAGTATACTAGCTCCCATATGTTCCCATATCTGGTACTAAACATTATATACTTGTGTATATTTGCTCCCATATGTGGTACTAAACATTATATACTTGTATACTAGCTCCCATATCTGGTACTACAGATTATATACTAGTATACTAGTTCCCATATGTTCCCATATCTGGTACTAAACATTATATACTAAACATTATATACTTGTATACTAGTTCCATTATCTAGTGCTTAACATTATATGGTTGTGTACAAGCTCCTAAATATAATACTGAACACTATATGGTTGTTTACTGCCTCCCATATCTATTACTTAACATTATATGGTTGTGTACTGGCAGTCTGGCTCCCATATCTAGTACTTAACATTACATGGTTATGTACTGGCTCCCATATCTAGTACAGAACATTATATGGTTATGTAATGGCTCCCATATCTGGTTTAAAATATCCCTATGTTGTTATCAAATACAAATTCTAAGAACTAATGATTAGCTATTTGTTTTAGTTATTATATTTTCAACTGGTTAAAGGTGAGTTCTAGAGAATAATAAATTATGGAACTGTTAAAGGATAATCTCTTCCCTTCTTCATGAAGATTTTAAAAAGTTCTCAAGAATGGTTGAGCTGCTTTTTTCAGGAGTTCTTAAAAAGATGACGGGGGCGTTTGTTCTTATTTTTAACAAGAAAGTTACACTCAACTAATATACAGATATTCAAGTGTTATATCTACTACTCGGGATTAACAAGAAAAATATTATTAAAAGATATAGGCTACGCGGAATAATGTAAAAAAATTATATTAATACAAATTCATCCGACATTTCTGTTAATAGTTCCATTCCCCTTTCACCACCGACATGTCAAAACCAATCCAATAAGGAGGAGGGGTGGGGGGTTCACAACTCGAAATAAAATAGAAAATACAAAAAACATAAATCAATAGAATAATAATATTTAAAAAGGGGGGAGGGAGGGTGGACAACGGTGTGAGAGGTTCTTGAAAAATCAAAATTACTGAATTACGGTTGAACCAAATGCGCTGACATTTTCTTTAGGGAAACCATGTTTAACCAGGGGGTAATATCGGCTAAAAAAATTAAAATAGCTTTTTTCATATGTCGACTTTTTTTAATAATTTTTTTTTACAATCAACGAGCAACGCTGGGTAGCAATTCAGATGGTTTACTATAAACCAGTTTATAAGCAATCCTCGCCGGGAACAAGTTCTACAATCAAGATTTTAGTTAAACTCACATTGGTAATTTCGGATCAATTTATCTTAGAAACAAGTTATTCCATGCCCCAACCTTAGTTTTATCCGCATTGGTATTTTCCGAATAATTTATCCCAGGAACAAGTTCTACAATGCCCCCACCTTAGTTCTATTCACATTAGTATTTTCCAATCAATTTACCCCAAAAAGAGGTTCTATCCACACTGGTATTTTCCAAATGAATTTATCCCAGGAACAGGTTCTACAGAGAGACTCACCTTAGTTCTATTCACATTAGTATTTTCCGATCAATTTATATAACCCAGAAACAAATTCTACAATTCCGACCTTAGTTCTATTCACATTGATTTTTTCTGATCAATTTATTACAGAAACAAATGCTACAATCCCCGACCTTAGTTCTATTTACATTGGTACTTTCTGATCAATTTATCACAGGAACAAATTCTACAATCCCGACCTTAGTTCTATTCACATTGATTTTTTCTGATCAATTTATTACAGAAACAAATTCTACAATCCCCGACCTTAGTTCTATTTACATTGGTACTTTCTGTTCAATTTATCACAGGAACAAATTCTACAATCCCGACCTTAGTTCTATTTACATTGGTACTTTCTGATCAATTTATCACAGGAACAAATTCTACAATCCCGACCTTAGTTCTATTCACATTGATTTTTTCTGTTCAATTTATCACAGGAACAAATTCTACAATGAATAAAGAAATATTCTACAATCTTTGTCGATGACGTAGATATTTCAGGATTTTATTTTCACTTGACTTATCCCTTCCTTTACTCAGATAAAGTAAAGAGTTTAAAAAAGGGAATGTTCGCGAAAAATAAAAAGGGATACTCTGCCATCTCAGTATGTCAGGGATGTTAAAAGCTTAATTGAATTCGTACAAAGGTTGTAATGTAATGTGCTTGGATTAATTCCTCCTCATGATTGGCTATATTTAAAAATTTCATTAAAAGTATGACATTTAAAAATGATGTTCGCTGTAACCCCCTGGCGTGTCGTATGACTGTCGTAAACACGTAACTAGTTTTCAGAGGATAAAGGTTAGCGAACGGAATCAACCTTGTTTTTTCATCTTATGTTCGAGCAATGAAAAAGTGTTTTTTTTAACAGTTCGTCTTTTGTAGCGAGGAAACCATTGAGATACCTGTTGATAAGGTATATTTGGATAAAAAATATTACAATAAAAAAATGTCATTACTTCTAAAAATAAAAATAGGTTTTCTGTAAAATACACACACGTAATGTTCCTTAGAGGACAATATTACGGTCGTCGAATATCTCCCAATCAAAATTCGAGCAAATGCTAGAATTTTTTACAATTTTCCAATATTCAAAGAATTACATGAAAAATTATTGCTATTATCTGATTACATATTCAGTGCGGGTTATGCTTATACCACCTGCAACTTTTCGCAAACACATAATTTAAAAATCCAAGTTAAAACATTTTTAGATATTTAATCCCAGGGTTGGTTAACCCTGAAATTTTCAGAGTTTGAAGAAAGTGTAAATTGCTTTGGAATTTAAATTCACTTCAGTGACAGAAGCCCCCCCCCCCCCATAACTTAAAAAGTTTTTTTTAGTAAATTGAGAATCTTTAAAATTTAATTATTTAGCAAGTTGCTAAAAAATCTTGCTTACTGCAGATTTTCATCTAAATTTATGAAAAAAAATTGTTTAGGCGGACGAACAAATATACCAAACACCTGAAGAAAAAAAATTATTTTAAAAAATATACCCTAGTGTTTATGCACTCAGCATTCATTTCGGTTGAAGGTCAATATCAAAGAAAGTACATTGGAAGGGGGAGGGGGGGGGGGGTTGTAAAATATATACCGCTAGAACAATCTAGAAAGAATTCCTATTATCCGAATCAATTTCCTGAGTAAATTGTAAAAAATAGTTGAGTGTCGACAAACAAAGTTATTTAATGAATACAAAATAGTTCCTGAAAACATTTTTATAACTTATGATTTATTTTGGTATGTGATAAATAATATTGTTAAGCTTCATTCAGGATTCTTAAAAACAACCTTAAAAATTTCAGGGAGGTTTTTCGATGCTTTGGATAAAAAAAACAAGTTTTTTCATCCTTTTAGATAATTTTACCCACAAATTCATTTATTTTACCCAATTCAGCGAATAAAACCCAACAATATCAGCAAACATACCTCACATTTTGTAAGGGAAAATTATTTTTCTAAAAAACGTCCACAAGCCGTAAATATGAATGCAGGGTGGCCAAAACTTTTTTGAACCCATCCGTACAAAAATCCGTACATTTTCAGAAGAAAATTCGGACAAATGTACATCATACTCACACCGCATTGTCTACATTCATTAAACAAGCTCTTGTTATGTAACATATGAAATAAATAAATAAATAATACAGAGAAAAAATCCTTAAAAATGAAATGCAGTTTATTTGAGATACATTTACTTTATTGGGTGTAGCAAAAGATTGAAATTTGTATAAATACCTGTGTCATCAAATCCAAAAGCATTCTGTATCTGTTCTTTAATGGACTCAGGTTCCTTAGGTTTGGCAGGTTCAAGTTTAGGTGTGGAGGATTTATCATTTCTCAGTAGTTTGGAAAATGTTTTCGGAACTGACGGGGTTTTGTAGGACACTGGATCATGTTGTACAGAGGATGTAGAGGGTAAAGGTTCGAGTTCAGCACTCTGTATCNATTTTTTTTTTTATTTTCATGAAAAATTTGCTGAAATGAGTGAAAATTTAAAAAAAACGGTGTATTTTCCAGGATAAAATCCGTACAATCCGTACAATTTGAAAACAAATCCGTACAATCCGTGCAATCCGTACAATCCGTACAATTTTAGGGTAAAAAAAAAATCAATCCGTACAATCCGTACAATCCGTACATTTTGGCCACCCTGTGAATGAGCTAAACATTAGATATGAGTTATATAAAGATTAAACACGTGTTGTACTAGTAAAACTACTTAGTCACAGGACCAATATCGTTACTCAAAGTATCATTTTTATTGACATACTAGCTGAAGTGCCCGGCGTTGCCCGTGGATTTTTAAAAACACTTTGGAAAAATGTCGAGTTTTTTAGCCTATGTCACTCCCATGGTACCCGTGAGTTCTCAGAAAATTTCAGCCGTTTGGCCAGCCATAGCGAAGAGCATTATTATGTAAATATGAAAGCAGTGCTTTGGATCCAAAGGGTAAAATATCAACCAAAAACTGCAAAAAAAACTTTTTTACTCTTAATACCCAAATCTGTACTTTCGAAAAAAGAGAGATTATAAAAAGTTCCTCATTTCTGAATGGTTCATCAAGTTTTAGCATAGAAATAAAAAAAAAATTTTAAAAAAATTAAAAATTATGTTTTCTTAAAAAAAAAAAGATTCAGTAAATCTTAAAGAAATGACCTGGATCCGGATCCATTTTTCCCGGTGCCGATCCCGGATCCGCATCATAATTAAATGCATCCTAAGCACTGTATAAAAGATGTGGCCACACCAACATGTTAAAAACATAAGAAAGAATAAAATCCTTACGCTAACACTCTGATATTTAAGACACGGTGAAGGATAAATATAATAAATGTGGAACTAACATATACTTTTTTACTCTACAGAGGTTTGGTCCATCACCATCACTGAATTTTAGATAAATATAGAAACAGTACAGCTTCACCCTGGACTTACTGAACGACAAGAAACATTTAGTTTCTTTAATTTTAATTCACGATTTGACGATTTTCCAGCAACCTTTTAGCTTACATAACTTTATATAGATCGGGCTAAAAATAATAGTGTTTTGATGAGAAAACTTCGCAAGTGGTAGAAATAAAGATAACTATTGTCAAAACATGATTATTACCTGTGTCACAGATCATTCCTTCGATAACAATATTCATGAGTAACCCGTCGTCATCTGTGTTGTTGATTTGCTGAAAAAAAACATTTTTAATTTCTTATTTTTTTATCCCTTATAAGGTCCATTGCCAAGAATCCATTATTGATGCACATCCTGGATCCGTTCTTTGAAAAATGGCCCCGGACCCTTCTCGTGCGTATTTCTTTAAGTTCAGAAAATTATGTTTAAAAAAAAAATTGCATAAGTGTTTTTTCATTTTTATTCTCTCTTATTCTTATGTAGAAACTTGATTGACCATTCAATAAATAAGTAGGTTTTAACTTGAAGTTTCTTTCAATCAAGGTTAACCTTTTGTTAGTAAAGATATCATTATATATTAATAACACAGAGGAAAATATTTTTTTTTAAACTAAGATAAAACCGGCTTTCTCAAAAAAAATTTTTTGTTATTGACAAAAATCCAGGGGATTATATTCTTCCTAGTAGTTGAATTCCCCCCCCAGTGGAGAACGTTTTTTATGCTTTTTATCGCAAACTAGCTATTATTGCCACTGAATCACTTATTTTACCATATATCATGTCACTTTGTCTCACTCACCTTGATTTTAATTTACAGTCATTTAGTCATTTTTGCAACATTTTTTACTCAACGCTAAGGGTGTCACAACCAAAAGAAGTTTTGTATTTTGGTTGTACAAAGGAGTGCTTCAGTGCCCTGAAAAGGTCAAAAACCAGATCCCCTTTGAGATTTTTACGAAATTCTTAAAGCTTTTTGATGATATTGATCTTAAGGAAAAAGATGCGTTACTGTTCCTCAAAAAGGTTTCTCCTAGTTTCCTGTGTGAGCCAAAACTAGCAGATAAAAAATAACGATAAATAAAAAATTTGAAAAAGTTTCTTTGACACTCTGCTGTCTTATAAGTCTAGGCAGTAAATGCCTGCGCTACAATAAAGGTTTTTAAAGATTCTATGAATTCTCTTCCATTTTTGCCCTTTTTTCCTTTTTTCCCCCTTTTTATCTTCCTTTTTCTTTTTTTCCGTTTTTCCTTGAATTTTCTTCCCTGGGCTGAATTTTTTATTCCCCATTAGGGGGGAAGGGGAGTAAGAATATACCCCCCTGCAAAGTCCACGGTAAAAAGTCTGGTCGGGGGAAAACTAGGCTTCCAGAGCAATTCACGCCGCCTTTCTAGTAAACCAGGCTTTTAGGGTGCTTCGCGCCCATCTTCTTTATGAACTTTTAATAGTGGCTTTATCTGTGAGCATCTTCTCTTTGTACAAGATAAATAAAATTTATAAAAAAAATTTGCGGATTTTATTTTTTTTTCGCACATTTTCTAAATTTTACAAAATTACATAATTTAAGATAAAAATATCTTTAGATTACATATTTAAAGTATAATTGACCATAAACCTTCCCTGGGGCCACGTGAGGTCCCACACAAAATTTGGACCTGATCGGTTCAGCCGGTTTAACGTTTATTGGATACAAACAAACAAACAGACAAACTATTCGCGCCCCCTTTCTAGTAAATTATAGATGTTAACCGTTGCTCTTCAAGCTCTCATTTTTCTAAATAAATCATATTTTGTGAATCTTCTGTTAAAATTTGCGCATTTAAAAAAAATCATGACATTTTTTTCGAGCTATATTTTGCCATCATTTTTGGGCTCGATCGGTTCAGTCGTTTAAGACAGATAGACTTAAGCAAAAATTTATTTATATGTAGGACATCATACAATTGAAATCTTATTTAATTCTTTCACAAAGACGGGAAGGGGATTAAAATGATTAAAAATTTAAACTAATTTTTGCAAAATAAACCCCCCCCCTCCCCTCCGCTTCCAATAATGGAATAAAATATTTTCTATTCCTAAATTGAATTACAATATTTCCAGTTTAAATACCAACCATATATAAAGAAATAGTTTTGTCTAAAAATAGATATGAATCAATATTTTCCAATAACATAAAAATCAGGGTTTTCTATAAGGTATAATACAGAACCTGGATCCGCATAAAAAATATATGAATCCTAAGCACTGCTTACTTTGTTTATGAAAAAGAATTATTTCTTAAAGCCCAGAACAGATAAAAATAATTTCAGATGTTTAATAAAGTTTCATATCTCTTAATTAGTAAAATATATCAAACTAGAAGTGTATTAAAGAATCTCAAAACCTTTTTATTTTCAAAAATTTTAAAAATCAAGAATCGTGAGTTAAAATTAAGGGTCAAGAATCAAGAGCCAAAATTAAGAGTTAAGAATCAGGAGTCAAAATCATAGTCAAGAATCAGTAGTCAAGAATCAGTAATCAGTAATCAGTAATCAGTAATCGAGAATCGAGAATCGAGAATCGAGAATCAAGAATCAAGAATCAAGAATCAAGAATCAAGAATCAAGAATCAAGAATCAAGAATCAAGAATCAAGAATCAAGAATCAAGAATCAAGAATCAAGAATCAAGAATCAAGAATCAAGAATCAAGAATCAAGAATCAAGAATCAAGAATCAAGAATCAAGAATCAAGAATCAAGAATCAAGAATCAAGAATCAAGAATCAAGAATCAANCCCCCCCCCCCCCTCCTTAGAATTGGGTGACCAAGACCGCTGACGGAGTTAAGTATACTTAAGCAAATATATTGTATAATCCAAGCAAATAAAATTAAAGGTAACAAACCCATTAAATTCATTATTACTATATCCAGTATCCCCAGTAAATAAGGGAAAATTGAATTATTGCATGACGACTATGACGTCATGATCTTGGCCCAGTTTTTCATTAACAGTAAATTCTTAAACAAAGATTTTAGATTATATTTTCTTATTACTCACCAGTCGGGGATTCAATACATTCTCGGGGAAACTTTCAATTTGGCAAAACTAGATTTTCATTGAGGTTAAAACGTTAAATGAAACCAAATAAAGTAGTTCCTATTCATGAATTAATTTTTTCTTCTTTTCAATTAAATTGAAATATGTTTTAATTATCAAAAAATGTTAAATGTTTTCATCTAGACTTTTCAATTTGCCCTCAAAGTTCTATTTGTGGTCCTCTTTAAACCAAACATTTTTCCTTTGTCGGTTAACCGATTGTTAATATATTCTCAGCAGAGGTGCAACTAGGNAAAAGAAAGATTGGCGAATATCATTATCACAGGAGTCAGGAATAATAAAGCCAAAAGAGTTGTTGTAGAAATTGTTTTCTTCTATGGTAAGTTTAAAAAAATTATTTTTATCTTTCTGAGTTCTCAAGGCAAAAGGCTAATGTAAACTTTAATGTAAAAATGTTGCAAACTGTATTCAATCTTTGATTTATTTTGATAAAATATTCTAAGTTTGAAATATCAAAGGTTTACACCACTCGGTGCAAAGATTTAGGGATTAGAATATTTGAGTTTGTTGCAAAAACTCAGTTCTAAATCTAGAGAACATTCTGAGACTGAACCTGGCAAACTTCTAACTGATTATCATATTTGATAAATAAAACCTGTTTATCTTCTTTGAAAGAACTTCTATAAAATCGAAAATGAAATAAGATTATGAATGTCGGTTACAATGATCAATCATAAATTCTCTCCTTTTTCAGTGTAGAATAGATTATTAAAATTATATACGTATTGTGATGTTTTTAAAAAACACAGGAAATAAAAGAATTGAATTGAACAAAGCCAAATCTGCATGCAACAACTGAAAATTTACTTTTTTCGACATCAAACCCTTAAAAAAGCATTTCTATTTAGATAACAATTTTCAGTGGGGGGGCGCAAACCCCCATATAGCCCACCCCAAACCATTAAAAAATAATATTTTGCCTCCCCCCCTTGCAAAAGTTCTAGTTGCGCTTCTGAATCTCGGTTTATTTTAGTTATAAATCTTAAAAAAATTATAATGAAGGAAAATGTTGCGGATTTATGTTTTGTTTTCATTGGTGTATTTTCAAATTCTATTTCAAATTTTTCCAGGAAATAAAAAATAAAACCGACTGTTAATCTTTTCTAATATCATGTGAAGTTCTACAGTTATGCGGAGCCAAACTGTTCGGCCGAAATAACGTAATTTAGATACAAACTAACAAACAAGCCCAATATACAAGATAAGATAAGATAAGATAAGATAAGATAAGATAAGATAAGATAAGATAAGATAAGATAAGATAAGATAAGATAAGATAAGATAAGATAAGATAAAATCTGAAACCCCCGCCCCCATCTTGGAGAGCCCAGACCGCCATCGGGGCTAACTCCCCCAAGAGCTCCGGCACCCCCAATATATATCTAGATGTAATATAAAAAAACGTTTCACCAATCAAGACTCCATATCATGATATCAAGACATTTTTTATCGTAAAACTTGTTTCCCCGTTAACATTTGTCAATTAGAAAACTAATTAGAACAAAAAGTAATCACGTCACGAAAAAAAATAATCCAATTATTGGCTTGTCATTAACAACGTCATAATAAGGGACTAATATGGAACGCCACGATATTTGCTCGTGATATTTCTGCTGGAGAAGGTTTCGTGATTTTAAACAATTTCCAAGAGCACTGAGCCACTAATCATTTTATCTTTGCAACCAGACCTTGCAACATTTGATATTTCAAACTATAAATCTGTTAGACTTCTGGAATTTAAACATCTTAATTTATCCATTTTCAAACTGAAGTACATATTAAGAGAAGGCTAGAAGGTTTATCTTTACACTTGCTTCTTTCTTTGTCAAATCCTATCAGTATCCTATGCTATATTTTCAAGGCAGAAAAAGAGACTTCGTTAAACTTGATGTTTTCAAGTCCTTTTCGTTAAACTTGATGTTTTCAAGTCCTTTTCGTTAAACTTGATGTTTTCAAGTCCTTTTCGTTAAACTTGATGTTTTCAGGTCGTTTTCGTTAAACTTGACGTTTTCAGGTCGTTAATAGAAATAACACTTAAACAATTCCGATTCCGGTAGGTTCCCTGGACCCGGATCATGGAAAGGGGAAACATATCAACCAAAATATAGACGTAGTCTAAAAGCTCCAGTAAGAAATTAGTAAACCCTAAAACTATGACTTGAAGACGGGTTTTTATAGGACAGATCAAGGATCAGGAACCGGATAAAAATTTCAAGAATCTTTGGATGTTAAAATGCTGCGAATCGTTGGATCCGGATGAAAACGTGGAGAATAGTTGGATACGGATCCGGATGAAAACGTGGAGAACAATTGGATATGGATCCGGATGAAAACGTGGAGAATAGTTACCTGCATCATATACTCTCTGACTAGGCTGGGCGAATAATCTACTATGAAGAGAAGTATATCCACACTCGCAGCTTTTGTTTCCTTAACAACCAATTAAAAGATTAAAATTTAAACTTTAAAACTTTTTCTCTTTTCCCTTTGTTCAGTATTGAATTAGTCTCTTTTAGACTTCTTAATATATTTAAGATCAGTTTTATAACTGTGTATATTTCCAAGGTTTATATGATGCATATTTCTTTATATTGAAGTTATATTCCATGCTTGATACTTATTCAATATTCATGTAGTATGTTTATTGTTTATATTAAAATAAATAAAAAAGAGTTTCTTGTAAATTCCACCCCACCCTCAAAATTAATATTTTTTTTTATTTTTGGAAGAATTTTAATAAAACCCGACAAAGGAAATGATTTCTGTCCCTAAACTAAGATGTTCTAATCCCTGTATCTTAGCAACCTAATGTTGCAAACCTAGATATTGGAATGGACAAATTTGAGTTTGTGGCAAGAGTTAAGTTTCTTTAAAAAAAAAAAAATTCAACGGATTACAGTTTTGAAAATTTCTACCTTGACAGTAGACTGCAGAGTCATTTCTAGTCCCGCGAGAACTCCAAGAGAGGAAAGAGTTTTGTAAAAACTCTCTCTGGACTGAGGTTGAAGAGTCTGGGAGAGTTGACAGAACTCCTGTATATAGTACAATGAGAACCAGAAAACAGTATAATAAGAAGGACCAAAAGGAATAACAAAGGCGCCATTCACTCGAGTTTTTTTATTCTCACTGTAGAAATTTTTTTCTACTTATTCTGAGAAAACCAGTTTTTCCCACTTTTCTATATTAGATGTAGGGACAGTGTAGGTTGGAAATATTAAATATGAATGTTTCTAGTTACGTCTCGCAAACTACTTTCCACATATTAAATATCTATTTTCTAAGATACAAATATCTACTTAAAAATTGATCAAGGCGCAAATAATAATAAGGCCCAGTTGAAGATTAATACCCTTCAGAACTTGAAAAATATTGACTCTACCATTTCATGGTTCAATTTTCTTCATGTGGAATACAAATGTAATATATTTGCAAGAATCAACCCCAGTAGTTGGACTGAAACAAGCTTTTCTCTCCGAAATTCCAGTTATTTAGATACAGCAGAAAAGACATCAGTTGAGAATAAAAAACTTCTTTATATAAAGAGGGTTCTCCGGCCAAATTAAGACCCAAGATAAATCTACAAAAAGTTCCGAAGCACGCTGGTTACCTTTAGATTAAAGTAAATAGATTAAGAATATGTGTACTTGAGTAAAACCAGAATATGGAAGATGAGATTTTGAAATTTTTTTACACTAGATGGCGCTAGCATCAAGTTCATATATGTAGTCTGCAAAAGAAAGAAAGCAGAATCCTGTTTCCTCATTACGGCGGAATACCAATTAAACTGTACACATAGCAGTATAATCAGAAGCAAAGGAGATTCCAGCTAGGACAGGCAGGAAAATGGGGGAAGGGGTGGGGTGTTGGGGGAGGATGAAGACTTACCTTGAGAAAGAGAACTAGTTCTTTTCTTCTCTCCTCACTGGCTTTAGAGTCTCTCAGTTCGGTAAAAAGATCTCCCAAAAATCTAAACAAAAAAGTAAAATTACATAAATAATATTATAATATCATTTTTTACACAAGATCAATATCTATCTTCTTCTGCGATGAACTGATTCTGAGAATATGACAGGATCAAGAAGATGTTGGAAAAGATGTTGCTAAATTCCCCTAGCGGGGGCTACACCAACTACTCTCCAAGTATACAAGTAAGTATACACCATTTCTTTCACAATGAGATTGAAAATTATTATAAAATATTGTCATAAGATTTTTATCACTTTTACAAAGAATACGGGAATGACAATATTCTCATACAATAAAATAATTCCAATTTTTTTTCTTTCCCCCAGTGCTTAGAATCCAGATCCGGATTTGTTGGTTCCGCAAGATTTTAGCTTCCTGGATCGGGTTCCGCAAGAATATGCGGATGCAGGGGGGGGGGCAAAATATCAACCAAAAGCTGCCAGCAAAATGTTTTTGCTCTCAAAACCAAAATCTGAACTATTAAAAAAAGAGATTATAAAAATTTCCTGATTTCTGAATGGTTCATCAAGTTTTATCATAAAAATAAGCTAAAAATATAAGACAAAAAATTTGAAAATTCTGCGCTGTAAAAAAAATAGCCTGGATCTGGGGTAGATGTTATTTACAGTTTAAAAAAATGATAACAAAAAGCTAAAAAGTAAAAAAAAAAAAACTGTCTCGTTTATTATATTTGATAAAATATAATAAAATTCATTAATTTTTTTTAAAGAAAAAAAATAACCCCTGAAGACCTTTCCAAGAATTGCTTAAAAGGGTAAAGGCATATAGTGTCGTAAAGAACAAAACTCATTTTCCGCAACTTGCAGAATATTTGTAAATATTAAAGTTTTCAGGAATTTCGTCATATGTTGACGTAGACAAAAACCTATTTGCATCCAAAGTATAAACTCATTTGAATATTAAATTTCCAGGAAATGTTGAAAATATAAAATACAAAGCTTTCTTTTCTAGAAAGGGTCTCAAATTTTGAAAAAACAACAAATCATTAGAGATGACATTTTTTATATTGAATTAGATATTCATGTTTTTGTTTCTTCACTGTTTATTTATATTTGCGGTTTCTTTGCGGAAGTGACTTGCGCATTTCTTCTTCTGCCGACTATTGGACGATTTTTAAAAATTCCAAGGACAAAAACTGGTAATTCAGATAGTTTTACATATGTTTTAACGAGTAAAGTAAAAACGTGGATGAAGTCCATAAAAACTTATGTTGTGAAGCCATAACAAAGATTTCTTACATTTTTAATTTCCATTTTTTAATCTTTTTCTGTCTAGGCGGGAGCTAACTGCTAACTAGGGATGACGTATACTCAAAGTGTTGTGAAAAAGCCATTAAAACTTATAATTTGTTTTCCATTCCAAAAATTGAGAATGAAACTGTTCTAAGCTATTTCTAAAAATTCATTAAAGCGACAATTGAGATTAGAAAGTTCGTCTTTTTGCAAGATTGTTCTATCCCATAAAAAAAATATTTTCTAGTTCCGTAAATTTTAAAAAGAGTTCTTTTTCCATTATTGAATAATATTCTTCCAACCTATATCTAAGAATCAAATGTGACTGACTACTGGGGTGAATAGTTTATTGAAAAATCATTTTGCCTCCCCCCCCCCCACCTTTTCGAAAAGAAAAATTTTGGGTAAAAAGAAAACAAAATTAAATGAACATTTAGATGTCCAATTTTATATCCTCACCCTGGGGTTTGGGGGAATTCGAAAAAATATACACTTCTGCGTAAATATCGAGAACGAGATTTAAAATCATCGGTTTAACAATGAGAATATACAAACACTTTTCTGTCTTGAAAACACAAATTCAAATTCTAATAATTTCCTTCATTTTTTTCTGGTAAATACATCTGCAAGTCCGTATTACAGAAAACCGCAATGGAAAATGATCAATTCACAAACAGAAAAACAAGGATAACCTAATCATTTGGGTACAAACATGCTGTAACTCTTTAATGTAGGGAATACTTGAACTACGTAGACAGTGCCTTTAAACCTTTAAGGAGAAGTTTTTCCTACCTCTCATCTTCTAGAATGAGTGACACGATCTCCACTTTGTTAAAGAAAACAAAACTGTTTAGGGTAGAGAGGATATTCTCCTCAAATACAGAGGGAGTAGGGAGTACAACATCCTAAACATGGATTAATGAATACAGGGGCAGTAGGGAGTACAACATCCTAAACATGGATTAATGAATACAGAAGGAGTACAACATCCTAAACATGGATTAATGAATACAGGGGGAGTAGGGAGTACAACATCCTAGACATGGATTATTGAATACAGGGGGAGTAGGGAGTACAACATCCTAAACATGGATTAATGAATACAGAGGGAGTACAACATCCTAAACATGGATTAATGAATACAGGGGGAGTAGGGAGTATAACTCCTAAACATGGATTAATGAATAGAGGGAGTAGGGAGTACAACATCCTAAACATGGATTAATAAATACAGGGGGAGTAGGGAGTATAACTCCTAAACAAGGATTAATGAATACAGAGGGAGTAGGGAGTACAACCTCCTAAACATGGAATAATGAATACAGGAGGAATAGGGAGTACATCCTAAACGTGGACTTATGAATACAAGTGGAGTAGGGAGTACAACATCCTTACCATGGATTAATGAAAACCGCAGGAGTTAGAAGTAAGTGACAAAAGATGTGGGAAAAATGAGATGGGGGGGGGGGATGAAAATTAAGACACACAAAATATATTTTTTATTTTCGTTACCTGAATATATTGAACTCGATAGGTCTGATGTATTTTAGATAATAGTTCTGTGTTAGTGATTGGGATAACTTGGTGAAACCTGAAAAGAAAATAATTAATGATTTTTTAAATAAAATAATAAGATTTGAGCATTTAGATTGATTTTTGAAGCAGCAAGGCCAAGAATTCTATCACTAATTCTTCGTCGGTAGGTGGAGACTGGAGTAATAACAGTGAACAAAGGAACTGCAAACGTAATTTCAAGGTCCCTCTAAAGTCTATTTGTATATTAGAATGTCCGTTTCACAATAGTACCGTTAAAAGCATTGTCTGATCAGGTATGATTTTCATTTTGCGCATTTTTGCTTGAGAAAAATGAGGTAATATCATAATTAAACTCGTATTGGGCATACCCCAGTGCAAGAGTCATCAATATGTGGAATAATATTCCATATGAAATCATAAGTGCTGGAAACCTTAACATTTTCAAAAACAAGCTCGATAACTGACTGAATTAGTGAAAGGCGAATGAAGTCGGAAAAAATATGTTTTAAATTATCACACCCGTGATATACAAACATAAACACACCAATTAAACCTCTATAGAAAAGAACCAAATAACGACGACAATCCTTACAACAAAATTTGCCGCAAATAGTTCCTTAGTGCATAAAATCAGCCACAAATTTAGGTCTAACACAGGCCACAAAATAAGGTCTAACATAGGCCACAAAAAGGGTCTATAACACAGGACACAAAATTAGGTCTAACAAAGGCCACACAATTTCTAGATAAACCTTCGAGATAATAATAATAATAATCGCAGTCAACCCTTATCCTACGGAATAGGCTTGAGCTCCCGCCCATGTTTTTGACATTTCGACATTATGTTTATCAATAAATCAATTACAATCTTAAAAGATTAAAAAAACTTTAGACTTAAGCCGGCTGAATTTTTGAATTGGAATTTAATATGAAAATATGAAAAAGTGCGGGACTCAGAAAACCTATTTTTGAAGAGAATATATACCCTTTACTATTTACTATGTACTCTTCTAAGAGTGTAAGCAGCAAACAGCATCTCATATGAGTACAACATTCTGGCCACTGCAGCAATGTAAATATTTCAGATAAATGTTTTTATAGTTATCTAGTGGGGGCGGGGGGAGGGAAAAAATTGATTTAGGGGGGAAATGAATGAATTTTTGGGAAAGTGTCAAAAAGAAAAAAAGCTCGATTTTTGATATCCCATATTTTTTACTTTACCCCCCTGATTTAAAATGTTCACCCCTGCAAAATTATGACTGATCTTTAAAGATTGAACTAACTCTACCCTGGCCTAATCTAATATTAAACTAAATCCATCATCAACAATTTTAGAATTCATCTCTCAACAATTTGATTTTATTTTGTTTTCTAACATTTGGTTTTTGTACTTCAGACGTATTACGTACCTAGCTTAAAAATTTTCCATGAAAGGAAATATCATTTGCAAGCAGTGCTTAGGATCCATTTAATTTTGATGCGAATCCGGATCCTGGATCCACACTGGGAAATATTGATCCATTGTTTGCTGTTTTGGGTCGATTTTTTGCCCTTAGGATCCGGATACAGAAAGTCAAAATGTTGCGGATCCAACGGATCCGGATCCTAAGCACTGGTTGCAAGTGACCCTTCATTAATAACAATACATGCGCCGTCATCATTCAATGAAATTGGGGGTCAACGCTGTATTAATCGTTTTAACAATGACAAGTTCATATGTTTCCCGTCCTTATAATATGAATAAATATTCTCAATTTCCTTTCCGTGTCTCCGCTAATCATATTTACTGAGAATTTAAAAACAATCAATTTTAAAACAGAAAAACAAGGATTAATCAACTAATTGCAGAGACACAGGTTTGGGTACCAGTGTGAATCGGATATTAAAATATACGTACTTAGCATATTTTTACTTCTTTAAAACTTATCGAGAAAACCTTGGCTCCAAGGATTTCCCCTTCATTACCAACTTAATCTTTAAGATATTGGATACTAAGGAATCCCCCCCCAATAAAGTTTTAATATGAAAATTCATATTCAATCTGAACAAATGTTGTTTTGAGACTGTCCTAATGTAAATTTCAAACTTTTATTAGGAAAACTGAATGTTTTTCTAAATAGTTGTTTTTAAAATTATTTCGCAGTAAATAGGAAATTTAAAATATTGAAATTCATTAAAAATTAAGGAGAAATATAAAACTTTTTAGTGACAGATTTAATCTATATGATTATTTTATGCATACGTCATCAATTTCAAGTTGTTAAAAGGCAGAAACTAGTGTACGAGAGCGTAAATCCGCCACGCCTGGACTTTAAACTTTTAAGTGATAAAATTAATCCATAAAAAACGACATTATTTTGGAAAAATATGTATTTAATTCACATTTTTGCTCGCTCATTTTTAGAGAACAATTATTACCTTATTCCGTTAGACTAACATACGGATTAGCTCTGACGGAATTAAGGATTCAAAAGGTCCGGCCTTAGTCCGGAAAATCAGATTAACTTACTTAGCTATACTCTTAAGGTATTCCCTGTGTTTCTTGGGTTGTGCAGTCCCTGGCTCGAACTCGAGGCACCCAACCACATCGAAGATGGTTTCCTCGGAGAACATCATCTCGAACAAAGCGTTCTACACAGAGAGCATATTCATCAGGAATCCAGAAAAATCCATGAAGGACAATTTTAAGAAAATTTACTTTATTCATAATGGATCCGTAGATGAAATACTAATATAAATTTACATCCAAATTTTTTAATAATATAGATTCTAGAATTTACGTTTAGTAGAATTGAAATGACTGACAAATTAATAAATATAAAAAAGATTAAATAATTTAATAAAAGATGCTATAAAAGTATTTTTAATGTCATAGGTCGAAATGTTATTCTTTACAAAGAGAAAATGACAAAAGAAAGAGAGGACAGACCTTTATACAACATAAAGAGAGCATTTGAAATAACTAGTATTTAAAATATTTGATTTCCAAGAACTACTGAGCTAAAGAGAAGTTTTGAAGCAAATTGGAAATTTAAGGTTGAAGTTCATTAAAAATAAATAACATTTACTAAATTAAGCATATTTTCTTAAAACTTGATAAAACGAAATTTAATTTTCTGATTTATTTCAGTTTAGGACACGCACATTTAGAGACACTAAAGGTAATTTTAGTTGACTCCATTTGGGAAAAAACATGCTCTATTTACGACGTTACCCATGAAACCTTTATCTGATCAGGAATGAATAACATATCCTTGTGAAAATTGATTATTTCCAATTGTGGTTTCTCAATATACAGTTGCATATTTATGCTCTAGAGATATATATAAGATAAAAATGTGAATCGGACATGTTAATTTATAAGAGTTATTTGAAATTACGTCCGCTGTCCCTTTAAATTAGCCAAATAGCAGGACAAATAAGTTTTATTTAATGAATATTTTCCTTGTTGAGAAGAAAAATATTTCTAAATATTTGATAGAGATGATGCAACCCCTCCAGGTTCTCCAGGTCCTCACAGATACTGAAGATGTTGAGCAGCTTCTTGATGTAGTTTTCGTTCTCAATAGCGTTAGCCAGCTTTTCTCTCCTACCACAAGGGAAAACCATCAAATATTTTTATAATTATAAGATTTATCTAACCAAGGAGGACTTAAAACTTAACTTAGAGAACAGGAAACTTAACTTAGAGAACTGGTAACTAACCTAGAACTTAGAAGGAATGGAATCTTACCTAAGAGGACTAGAAACTAACCTTAGATGACTGGAAACTTACCTAATAGTACTAGAAACTAACCTAAGATGACTGGAAACTAACCTTAGAGGACTGGAAAGTGGAATTAACCTAGGAGAAATAGAAATTAACTCAAGGGGAATAGAAACTAAACTTAGAGGACTAGAAACTAACCTAAGTTGATTGAAAACTAGCCTAAGAGGACTGAAAGGAACCTAAGATGACTGGAACTAACCTTATCAGACTGGAAACTAAACTAAGAGGACTGGAAACTAACATCAGAGGACTGGAAATTACCTAAGAGGACTGGAAACTAACCTAGGAGGACTGGAAACCTACCTAAGAGAACAGAAAACTAATCTTAGAGGACTTGAAACTAACCAGAAGAGGACTGGAAACTTAACTAAGAGGACTGGAAACTTAACTAAGAGGACTACAGCCTTACCTAATAGAACTAGAAACTAACTTCAGAGGAAACTAACCTTAAAGAGCTGGAAACTTACCTAAGAGGACTGGAAACTGACCTCAGAGGACTAGAAACTAACCTAAGAGGACTGGAAAGGCATGATGAGACGAGTTCTGAAATCTCCTCTAGTTTAGAGAGCTCCCCTGCTGGAAGTTCTATAGGAGGTTGAGAGTCTGATATATCATCAAACCTTGTGTCATCTTCACTCTCTTCAACAAGATCCTGAACAATATACAGCATACATATCAATACAGTGGACAGCATATATATCAATACAGTGGACAGCATATATATCAATACAGTGGACAGCATATATATCAATACAGTGGACAGCAAAAATATCAATACAGTGGACAGCAAATATTTCAAAACAAGATTTACTGAAATGGTGATAAAATACATTGGACAGCAAATATATCAATACAAAATCGAATACTGAAATGGTGATATAATACAGTGGTAAACAAATATATAAATACAAAATCGAATACTGAAATAGTGAAATAAAAAAGTGATCAACATATATTATAATACATGATCATTTACTGAAATGATGATATCATACAGATGCTAACATATATGTATTTCAATACAGTATCCGGTACTGAATTTCATATATATCAAAACAAAACCGTTTACCGAAATGATAATATAATTAGCGATTAGATTCGTTTTACAAACGTTGAAAATATTGAACTCTTCTCATATTGTCGTAAAACCTTTTAAGTCTCAAAACATTAGAAAATTCTGTGAAACGAATCTGGGTATTGCCCATCCCTAGATATAAAACAGAGACTGACATGTATTTCAATGCAGTATTCGGTACATAATACAATAATACATAATACAGGGTGGTCGGTGTAAATACCAATTTCAGTAACCCACACTTGCTGACCATTGTATAAAAATATATTTAGGATTAAAACTTTTCAGTCTTTGAACGTTAATGGTTTTATTTAGCGTGCTTTGACAAGTCTGCGAGAACGGAAAATTAAAGATTATAATCTAGACCTAACATCAAAGTTAACATTTAGATCATAATCAAAATTTGTATGTCGTTTTTGAAGTCTAGCATTAATCTTTGTGGGCAACCCTTTATGTAAATATTTTCAACTTAACTTGGCTAATTGGGTCTTTTGTGGCTTTTTGTTTTATGAAAAAATTGCTGATTTTGATAAAAGGGCCCCTTTTTAATGTGAAAAATGTTCGTGGTAATTTAAAAATAAATACGCGCCCCATTCCGTTTAAATAATTTTAGCTTTTAATTGTTGCTCTGAAAGTCGGCCATTTTAAATAATTTTTTTAGAGATTTTTTTTTTCGAATATTGGCACATTTAAAAAAAATCCAACTATTTTCCAGATTTTTCTTCTTCCAGTTTTGATGTTACACAAACCTTCCCAGGGTTGATATATATAGATAAGTGACCTATTTGAACAGCACAAGAAAAAAATGAGTGAGTAGTTCCTGCTATTTTGATAAACCGGTTTATAAAGCGTCATAGTAAATATACACCAAACCTAACAAGCCTCTCCTCAATTCCGGGGTGTATATTTTTAAGAATTACCCCCTTCCCCGGCAGGATGATTTCTGGTGATCTTGGGGAAAACATGAAAAATTAAACATAAAAAAGGCCAGATTTTTCTTTCTTTTTCATAATTTTTACCAATTCATTTATTTTTCCTAATCCAGCAAATAAAACCCTATAAACACATTTTGCCGTTCCTTGCACACTTACAAAAAAATGGATTTCGAATATGTGTTTGAGGGGGGATATTTTCAAGAAAATATACACCCCTTCTTCAATTCTTATATGTCTTCTGGGTCTCCAGTGTATAAATCAGACAAAAATAAAATTTTAAGGGTTTGACGTTGAAGAGAAAATACACATGAAGTGAACGATAAAAATACTGATTACAGAGAAAAATAGAACTCGGCTACGTGTTACTTTTAACAAAGAGAAAAATAAAATAACTTTTCACAAATGCGAAGGCGTCAAGTTTCAATTTAAGATTTCAATTATAATTATTTCATAATAAACTAAAACAGAGGACAAAACTGCTGTGGTGTTAGCCTAGGTAGCCTAGGTATCAGCCGAAGGATTAAATGTATTGAAGGGTGTAAATATTTCCTTGAAAAATCATGTTTGCTCCTAAAATGTTGTTGACTGTTTTATTCATTGAATTACGAAAATAAGTAATTTCTACAGGAAAAATTAAATTTTTAGATTGTAAGTATGACAAAAGATGAAAAAAATTCCCTTTTCATGTCTCATTTTTCAAATACCCCCCCCCCCCTCACCCCTCATCAAAAATCATAATTTTGATGTCTTGAACTACCTGAGTAAAATCCACACTTGGATCCTTTCCTTGGACCGAGCATATTTTCTCCCATATCTCATCACAACCAGCCTTCTCCTAGATAAAACAAAATTAGTCTTCTCCTAGATAAAACATATTTAATTTTGATCTGGATCCGCACTGGAAAAAAATGATCCATTTCTTTACTTGATTTACTGAATTTTTTTTAACAAAATTTTTTTCTTCAAATTTTTGTTTTATTTTTTTCGCATTTTTTTATCCAAAAACTTGATGAATCATTCAGAAATGAGGAAATTTTTTATAATCTCTCTTTTTCAAAAGTTCAGATTTGAGTTTTAAGAGTAAAAAAGTTTTTTTTTGCAGTTTTTGGTTGATATTTTGCCCCTTGGATCCGCATATTTTTGCGGATCCGGATCCAGGAAGCCAAAATCTTGCGGATCCAACGGATCCGGATCCTAAGCACTAGAAAAAAGCAAGACATTTCTAGCTCTTATTTTATTTTAGAAGTAAACAACGGAAAAAATGTTTTAAGTTTCATGGTAGATCAAGATTCAACTCACAAATTCACAGAATAATTCTTTTTTTTGGAAATTTTCATTTGAGCTTGATGATCCAGATCTGCATCAAAATAAAATAAATTCTAAGCACTGATATTATTCTAGAATACTAATCAGAAAGCATAAATAAAAAGTCAAGTATCAAGTTCCTATTATCTATATTATACTTTTTTCCCCACATAAAAAAACTGCCCAATTCAACGATAATACCCAAAACGAATTCAAACCTCCCTTAAACAATATTAACCTGAAAGGAAAGCGCTAGATCAAAGTTATCTCCTTCACTCCAGACTATAAGAGTCTCCTGTTGTTTCTGGTATGCAGTTTCAGGTTGGATTTTACTCTCAAGAAGAACTGATCCGTCCGCCTCGCTTCGTACTACTAGGCTTACTCCTTTCAGTCGTTCAACATACGTAGAACTTACGTGTCCTAAACATTAAATGACGGGATATCACGTGACCTAGACATTTAATAATGCGACTTTGACGTAACCTAAGCTGGGAACGTTTGAATAATGGATATTGGGATTAATGCTTGATCCACTCTTTTTCTTAATCTCGAGATTAAATAACGATTGTTCTCCTCTTTTTATTAATCTATAGATTAATTAACCGTAAGGATATAAGGATATCCTATTCTAAAGTTCCCAGCTCTGAACATTTAAAAATGTGACTGTCACATGACCTAAACGTTAAAAAACGTCAATATCACGTGACCTGAATAGTTCTTAACTTAACTATTAGTTGACCTGAATATCTAATAAAGTTACTATAACGTATCCTAAATATTCAATAAAGTGACTATCAAGTGACCCGAACATTTAATAACGTGACCTGAACAAAAATAATAATGTGACCCTTTACGTGACCAGAATATATGACAATGTGATTATCACGTAACCTTGACGTTTATAATGTTACCTTCACGTGACTTGAACAAAAATACTGTTACTTTAACGTGTCTTTAACATTTCATAATGTGATTATACGTGACCCGACCATTTAATAATATGACTATCACGTGACCTTAAAATTAAATATCATGTGGCATAACCTAACAATAAGGTGACCCAAATATCTAATAACGTGAAACCTTAACATGATGTTATCATTTAATAACGTGAAAATATCATTATTTAATATGCAGTTATTAACGATTACAGAGTTATTATAAAACATTTATTAAAAACATCTAGTTATCGTTTAGAAAGTTTTATACCTGTCCCTTTATCGTCCCATTGTCTCTCTTGGTTGAGCTCATAGAGCTTAACCCGCTTCCTTGTGTCGGTCATCTTGCAGGATTCACCCCCTAAACAACAATACTTACAAGTTTACTTAGTGTCGGTAGATATTTTGATAAATTATGAATTTTTCGAAGTAAATTCATCTCTCATCCCTGATTTTGGTGGGAAATATTACAGATAAAATGTAAGTATGAAACTTTCATCATCCCTTCCCCAATTTAAAATTGAAGAGTTCTTAACCTACACCCATGTCTAGACCTAACTCACCTAACCTAAGCCCATTCCTAACCCTAACTTCACTCCCCTCCCCCTACCTTGAAGAGAGGTAACCCTACCCTACCCAGTCCACCCCTACCTTGAAGAGAGGTAACCCTACACTACCCACCCCTACCTTGAAAAAAGGTAACCCTTCCCTCCCCTCCCCCTACCTTGAAGAGAGGTAACTACCCTCCCCTCCCCTACCTTGAAGAGAGGTAACCCTACCCTCCCCTCCCCCTACCTTGAAGAGAGGTAACCCTACCCTACCCTCCCCCTACCTTGAAGAGAGGTAACCCTACCCTCCCCTCCCCTCCCCCTACCTTGAAGAGAGGTAACCCTACCCTCCTCTTCTCCAATCCTCTTCCCGCTCTCCGAACTCCCTGCAGTAGACGGATTAAAGATTAAGCATTTAAAAGTCAGAACTTTTGTATTAAGAATTTCGGGATTAAGCATGGATCTCCATCTTATCCCGACACATGGCATCCCTTGCTTGGATAACTTTATAAGACGGATCAAGCATTAATCCTCAAATTTGAAAAATGTAAATTTTCTGACGTCGAGATCAAAAGCTCAACATTAACGAGACTCTTCATAAGTTCAAACTTCAGGATCCAAGTCTAACTACAAAAATTACACTTGGTAAGTACATTTCAATTTTGTAAGACTTATTTTCTTAAACTAAAACAAACAGTTCTGTCACATATGTGGGGGGGATTTAAGGCCTTAATCGTAGAAATACAGATAATAAACTTAGAAGAGAGTATTTTAGATCGAATCTAGCCAATTATAAATGATTTCTCATAATTCAATTGTCATTTAATTTTCTTCTCTCTTCAAAAGACTTTTCTTGTAATTAGTTTTGAATGTGACGCACAAAAAAGAATGTGATGCACAAAAAAGAATGTGACGCACAAAAGAAGAATGTGACGCACAAGAAAGTGACGCACAAAAATAATGTGACGCACAAAAAAGAATGTGACGAGGGAGATGTTTAAATGGAAAAATGGTTATTACTACAACGTACTTCTCATTTTCTAGAAAGTTTTCCTGAATTTCTAAAAAAGTTCTAGTCAATTTTTGGAAACTTTTGAACAAATTTTGGAATGGTTTCGTCTATTTCAAGAAAGTTTTCCGGCAATTTCTTGAAAGTTTTCGTCAATTTCAAGAAAGTCTTCGCGATTTCTAGCACACTTTCTATAATTTCTACAATGTGTTTTTGAAAGTTATATAAGTTTAACATTTTTGTTGGACATGCAAGAGAATTTATTCATGCGTTAACATCAATTAATATTAGAGAATTTACTTTTCACGACTGAACGGAGAAATTTCAATTGCATACATAATAGGTTACTCAATTTTGGAACATTCCATATTTCACATTGGGTCAATGCGTAAACAGTCAATCCTCGGTCAAAATGCAGACAATAAGTGTATACAACCCTGGGCAAATATGCAAACAAACAAGGAGATTTGAATAGAAGGAGGGGGCGATAGGGTTTCCGTACACTTTGCTGTGACGTTTTTGGACTGCTGAAGAACTAGTTTTGGCGTAACAACAATAATAAAGATTGTAAACAATAACACAATTGATAAACAGACATCTGGCATCTCTGGCGCGTTAGATGAAGATTCACCGTATTCTAACTTATGTTTGTTTACATTAGATCGGGTGCCTTTGTTAGTGTTGTTACGCAGAAACTAGTTCTTCAGCAGTCCAAAAACGTCACAGCAAAGTGTACGGAAACCCTATCGCCCCCTCCTTCTATTCAATATCTCCTTGCAAACAAACAAGTGTACATAACCCTGGGCAAAAATGCAAGCAATCAAGTGTATGTGGCCTTGGGGCAAATATGTTAATAATCAGGAGTACTTAAACCTGGGCTAATATGTAAACAATCAAGTGTACGTAGCTCTGGGCAAATATGTAAACAATCAAGAGTACTTAACCCTGGGCTAATATGTAGGGCAAATATGTAAACAATCAAGAGTACTTAACCCTGGGCTACTATGTGAACTATCAAGTGTACGTAGCTCTGGGCAAATATGTAAACAATTAAGAGTACTTAACCCCGGGCTACTATGTAAACAAACAAGTGTACACAACCCTGTAAACAATCAACAACAATAGTCTAACAACTAAAAATACTCGCCACTAAGTTTTGGGTCTTCTGTTTTCTTGAATTTAACGAATTTGTCTCTAAAAAGGTTAGAGTTGAAAATGATGCAAATGGCAGTCTTAAAATAAGTTAAAAGCGCAATATAATAAATCAATAAGCTTTAATTACTATTCTAATTTTGTGTCAACAAATGATTAGAAGTTAGAAATATATTAATTTCTCTCAATCCGTCATGAATTTTCGTCTTATTGATGTAAATCCACGAAAAATTAATTGAACAGGAAACAATCTGAATCTAGACACCAAATCAGAACTTAGATATCTACAATACTCCACTTTGCTTTCTCATAAATTATCCCTTCATGTCATGCCGGTCACTCTCTTAACAGGGACTGTCAGCGTAATTTCAAGTGACCCTCCATGCAGAGCTGAATTGGAAATGCATGCTTTCGTTAAGATATTGCGCATTTCTTGGTAAAAAAAGAAGATAAATTTACGACAATTAACACAATTTCTGAGTCAGAAAAATTACGTTAACTTCTACATGCTTCATCAGATTAAGGCTTCAAGGGTACCGTTGCAAATCCGACATTGCTTAGAGAATAACTGAAAATTACGCTAACAGTCCCCTAAAGTTAGATTTTGAAGTAAATTTCTAGTTTTACCTCCACGAGCCAGGTAGTGGTAGAAAAAATTCACGTTGTTAGTGCTTGTTCTCCGAGATACATAGGAAGCATTTATCTGTTATCAACTCTTACTTCTAGTTTCACTCAGTTAGAACCATTCTAATCTGAAAATAGAAACAATCACAGTCGATATTCTGAGTAGCAGGATGTCACAGCTGAAAAAGGACACAAATCTGACAGGGAAAAGAACACAAATCTGACAGGGAAAAGAACACAAATCTGACCGGGAAAGAGGACACACATCTGACCGGGAAAGAGGACACACATCTGACCGGGAAAGAGGACGCAAATCTGACAGGGAAAGAGGAGACAAAACTGACCAGGTAACAGGACATAAATATGACCGGGACAGAGGATATAAATCTGATCGGGAGAGAGGACTCACATCTGACTGGGAAAGAGGACAAAACACAGACTGGGTGACAAGACATAATTATGACCGGGGAAAGAGGATATAAATCTGACTCGGAAAAAGGCCATGAATCTGACCGTGAAAAATGACACAAATCTGACAGGGGAAAGGACACAAATCTGACCGGGAAAAATGACATTTATCTGAGCAGGAGAGAACAAGGAGAGAAAAAAATCACGACAGTTATAACAAGAATAAATAAAGTTAAGTAAAGAATAAAAGATATGTCACTTGCCCCAAACTATTATTTTATAATCCCAATATATTTGCAACCTCATAACCTTGGTATTTCTTATCAAAAAAAATTTCAAATTTATATGTTAATATGAAACAGAGATATAATGATTAGAAAATACAGTTCGAGACGAGTAATCAGCTTTTAACTAAATATTAATATTTGAAAAATCAGATAAGATGTCCTAGGACATAAATATCTACTGGAAAGCCTACGTCAGATCACTGTGAATTGCCAGTAATATAATATATAAAAATATGTTAACAATATTTATCCAACCAATTAAACCTGGAATTCTTTCATTAAGTAGAACGATCAAATAATCACAAGAAAAAATACTAAAAGAGATTGTTTATTTACCTAAACAAGGGGGTTAGGTATACAAATTTATTAAAGAATTCAGTAATAAGACACATCGGAATAATTTTCATAAATGTAAAAAGTGTCAGTCAAAATATTGAAAAACTTAATTTACCATCACCAGGTTTTTCACAGGCACAAGTTAAAGTCATACTTAGTATTCGAATTTCCCCTTAAAAAATTGTGAATATTTGGTCTTGAACTCAAAAAAGAAATCAGAGTTTCTCAAAAGAAAATGAAAAATTCACCCCTCTGAATGCTATTTTATCTATTTATTCCATTAAGTCAATTATGAAATAACCATCTCTAAACTTGATCGTCACAAATCGCATCAAAAATGGCTGCATTAAGTCTCAGAAAAGGCGGTAAAAAAATATTAGGTCTCAAAATAAAAAAAAGTATATTAAACTCGCTTGAGAAGTTAACTGAACTGGTTTAATAAGTCTCTTTTACTAAATTCACAATCTCTTTCAGGTTTCTATTCAAATATAATTTAGTTAATTTTCATAGAAATCATAAATGTTAATCTGTATGAATGCCTAAATCATGAATGGATATAAATTAGTCTATTGAGTTATAACAATCTTTTGTTCCTTTGAAAATAAGGATAATGACATGAGGATGGTGTTAGGAGGGATTGAAATTGATGAATGAATGAATAACCATTGTTTGGAGGAGGAGGGAGGGGGGGGGGGTCAATATATAGTTTATATCTCGTCACAACAATGTTAATGTGGCTGGGGGATATGTCCATCTACATAAAAATTCTTTGTTGCAACATATCAATCAATCAATCAATCAATCAATCAATCAATCAATCAATCAATCAATCAATCAATCAATCAATCACATAAACAAGTTTAAAAAAGTCGTTGAGACGCATCAAAGAACACAAATGTTTTGGAGGGTGCCATTTTTAAATCCAAATTTCCTTTCACGATCCTTTTTTTTTGATCGTAATAATTTTTTATCAATATGTAAAAAAATCAAAATTTTATCTCTCTCTCAATGTTCTTACTTGTTGAAACATTAAAAAAACTCCCATTTTAATATACAATTTCGATTTCCCAATTAAAATCTTTGTTAAAAATATGAAAATTTATATCAAAGAACATTTGAAAGTAATCTTAAGCTTTAAAATCTCAGGATTCAATGATTGATGGATTGATTTGTTTCCTAAATCCTTGGTTATAATTATTTGACAGCCGAGCCGTGAGTTTATCTCAAGAAATGGTGCCTGAAATAGATTTAGGATAAATCGTCAAAACTTGCAATATTTTAATGCATGCTTTTCCAATTGACCCTCGAAAAGACATTTCAAATCCGGATCCTACCTATGGGATCCATTTGGAAACGAATCCGGCTCCTACCAATGGGATCCATTTGGAACTCCGGATCCTATCCAAATGATCCAAGAACTTGATTCCGGATCCTACCCAAGAAAGATATATCTGAAATCAACTCCCAATTGATCCGAAATCTTCTCAAATAAATTTTCGTTTTTATCTCATGCGTTTAAATAAAAAACGTTGGACTTCGAAAACAACTCAAAAGCCGTAAAATTTTAAGAAATGCACAAATCCGTGAATTCAGTTTTTGTTTATTTTGGTAATGTGAAACATGTTGCCACATTTAGCCGCGGAATCCACAGGCAAAAACTTGTATCCATTAAATAAGACAAAATTAGAAGGAAAAAAACTTGTATCCATTAAATAAGACAAAATTAGGAGGAAAAAACTTGTATCCATTAGATAAAACAAAAATAAGAAGAAAAATCTTCTATCCATTAGATAAGACAAAAATAAGAAGAAAAAATTTATATCTATTAGTTGAGACAAAATTAGGAAGTAAAAAATTTACTTGATCTAATAGGTCTTCCTCTTCATCTGTGGCTTCAGGGAGTCTAAAAAAGCAAGGAAAATTATATTTTTAAGAATTAACCATTTTTGAAGATTAAAGAAAAATGGGGGCGGGGGTAAATTACAAACAAGTCAAAAAGCACGTTTTTATTAAACTTTAACAAACAAAACTCATCACCTTCCAGGCCGTTCCTTACAATGAAATAAAATCAGTAAGACAAAAAAATGCAGTTGTCTTTCTGTTAAAGGGAATGTAGACGTAATTTTAAGTGAGCCTTCATGTTAAACTTGGCATGTCCGATTCACAACTGTATCTGTTAAATATACTAGACAAATTCTATCCCATTTATCCATTTTGAGGCCCAAGGTAATGAGGCAAGGAAAGTTAATTGTAGTTGCGTATTCTCTGCGTACAGTTCTATCCGGGCACTTGAAATAACGTCTTCCAGTCCCAGATCCAGTAAAAATGTTTATAAATATTAGTAAACCTGTTAAAGAACTCTTCTCCCTCCACATAGCAATGACACGTTGTACAAGCAAGACTAGCCTCACATGCACCCTCCAGAGGAATATCATATCTCTGAGCTAACCTTACACAACAGCAACAGTAAGTATGACAGGCAAGGATCAAGGGATTTTGTATAGTCATAGCCAAACAGACCCGGAATTAATCGACAGTTAATCAAACGACTACTTTCCAAATATGTCTCTTATAATTTAAAACGCACAATAAACGCAGACCACGTTTTGAAATTGCCAGGACTAGGGCTATTTTGTTACTATCGCTTCATTAATCATATTTTTAAAAACATTTTTGAAATTTTAATCTTATAAATTGGATACAGTTGATAAAGACAAATTCTGATATGAATCTTCTTCTTGTCATCGTTTCTCTCTTTCCTTTTCTTTTCCTTTGAAATTTTTTTTAATTTGACTGTCCTTGATTCTGATAATTTTTGAAAAAAAATAAAAAATTTTCGAAACCAATATATATCGGGACACTCTACTCCGTTGTAGTTGTAGTAATATTCAGTTTTATTGTCTAAATTAAGAATGCTTGACTTGACAAGCTGATTGAAGGTTAATGCAGAGCTGATTCAGCCTAATATTTTTAAAATTAAAAGTCGTCTGATTAATTAAAAACTAATTCCGGGTCTTTCTGATTATGACTGTACCTTCCCTTATAAGCAGATTTCGTGGAAAAATTAACATTTAACTGTTTGCTGGCCCAGGGGTGTATATTAGTTGTAAGATTCATATTCCCCCCCCCCTCCTCTTTTAGAAGCATATATTTTCAAAAAAGAACATCGAAGAAAGTTTTTGGATTTTAGTAGTATAATTGAGCGTTTTGGTGCCCTAAAAAGGTTAACTTCAAGGTCACCCCCTCAGTTTTTTAAAAAGGATTCCTGATATTGTTTAAAAAAAGTAAAAACAAAACAATTTTTTTTTGTAGTTTTTCCCTTCCCTTCCACCTTTTTCCTAGTTTTTTGCTCCTTTTTCCCTTTTCTCTCCCCTTCCATTTTCCCTTCCCTCTTCCCCTTTCCCTTAGCTTTCCCCTCGTCTTTTACCCTAAAATGAAAATATACACCCCTGTTGCTGCAGATTTATAGGGTTGAGAGAACTGTCTACCAAGAAACAAGATTTTCTAATAAAATCACTCATTAAAATTTAATTAGTTCTATTCAAGGACCTACGTATGTAATCTGAATTTGAAATTAAAGTCCTGAATTTGAAAGTCTAGTGAAAGTTGATATTTACTGAATTTGCTAATATGATATAATTTTAAAAATAAAATTGGAACCAAAGATAATATTCAGTCATATTTTTATGTCTGCTTTCCTATTAAGTTTTCGCAAACTCACCCCTTAAAAGCAGTTTTAGGGAAAATTTGTTTAACTATTAGACAACTATTTAAGAACTTGGAACGTTGTTGAGATTGCTAACTGGAATCATTATTATATCCAACACCGGCCCCTGATCCTTAGAAAACTGATTTGTCATATATTTACCATTATCTATCTGCAAAGGGTGTATATTTTCTTGAAAATAATTACCCCACCCTCTGTCGCAAATTATATTTTTATTTATAGCCAGAAGTTAGTAATTGTTTAATAGTTGTTACGCCGATTTGTAGAAATTAATCGATTTTAGGGGGAAAATAACTAAATTTTAGGTAATAGGTATCAAATGGATGAAGAAGCTTGGAGGTTTGTTTTTAATTTTTTTTATTTCCCCACCCCATATCTTCAATACTCCCCCACCCCCTGGGAATGGGTGATTTCTGAATATATACACCTTTCCCTGAACGATAATAATGTTTATGGCTGGTGTTCCTTAGTGCATTTTCTCCCTCTCGTGCCTTTGTTTGTTTCAATGTACCATCTTTCAGAACAAAATTTACGAGGATATTTCCGGGAGGCCCGTGATCATGCTCGTGCATCAGCGCGCTCCCTGTCCACAAATCGTTGGCGGGGTGCATCATGATTAAACCTGAGACGGGAATATTAAAATTATTAACAATGGTTTTCATTCCCCGACCTGCGCGTAATAATATTTCACTGTACATAATTTATCTGAAATAAAAACGGATACAATTGGTGAAGTTAAACATTTTAATAATTAGAATCATCCTAAACAAGATAAAAATTACAAAAATGTTTAGCATGAATAAGACAAATATTATTGTGAACGTAGAACCCTTAAGTTGTGAAAGTGTTTATATAATTTCTACTTATCAGTTTTATTTTTATCTTTTTCCTCGACCTCTTCTAACCATTTCTGTCCATCCACGCTGTTATTTTATCATTTTTTGCTGCTCTTGTTAATTGTGAAATGCTCTGTTGATCTGAGCATTTATTAAATTAACTCATATATCAGAATGCACATGTTGAATATAAATATGTATATATAAGCATATACATGTACATGTATATATATAAATGCACAAATCCGTGAATTCAGTTTTTGTTTATCCGCAGCGCCCGGCCCCCTTGCCCATCCTAGCCGCAGCACTCGGCCCCCAATCCTCTCCTATCTGCAGTACTAGGCCCCTTACCCTGTCCTAGCTGCGGCGCAAAGCCCCCTAGCCAGTTCTAGAAGCAGCGCTCGGCTCAGAAATTGTCTTACCTAACCTAACCCTAAAATAATTTTAAAAGTATAATAATGATTTTTCTATAAAATAAGTGGTCATGTACAAAACTGATAGAAGGAGGGGCGGGGTACAAAATTCGATTTCTAGAACAGGTTTTAAAATGAAATATCCAGTTAAAAAATAAATATTAGACAGGTATTATACAATCTCAACTTTACCGATAAAAACTTCTCCCTGCAATTAGCATGGAATTATTACTAAAAACCCTACGAAAAGCTTTAAAAAATGTATAAAATGTTACTTCCATTAATATATCAACAAAATTTATATAACCTAAGGTACACTTGCAAAATATTTATCTAAAATCGGGAATAGCGCGAAAAATTACGTTTGTTTGTTCGCCATTTTGGATTTACCTCTAACTGCCTAATATGCCGCGTTCAATCTTGTTTTTAAGTTTTCAAAGCTTAAGGTTTGGATTCTTTTGGCTTCGCTCTTCGGTTTTTGATGCTACAGGGTGTCCCACATCATATTAGACCGTCAACGGGTCTAAATTGCGATTTTTGGGACTGATAAGAAAATTTAATTCGAATAAATCATTTTGAAAAATAACATAAGGCTTATATAAGAATTTCCTTGCGGAAAATGATAAGTTCTTCGAGTATTAAGGGTTTATTTTGTCGTTAAAGATTAGAGATAATCTAATATGATATGGGACGCTCTGTATATCGTTTTCACTAATGTCCGATTGAACTAACGTACTTTGCACTGAAGTCAGCTGATCAGTAAAACTTGTGACCCGGCCCCCTAGCCTGTCCTAGCCACGGCGTTCGGCCCCATAGTCTGTCCTAGCCGCAGCGCTCGGTCCAGAAATTGTCTTAACCTAACCTAACCCTCAAATAAAACATTATAGTCGAATGAACATTAATGCGAATGTACGTTATTCCGGTCAATCATTAGTGCAAACGATAAGACACCAAAAATATCACCGCGCACCCAGCTAACATTAAATCTTCGCCAGAGTTGGTTTTCCGCCGTCGTAAATGCGATGGCGGGGGGTACACTGTACCGCAATAGTATATACTATATGTCCCCGCCATAGTGCAATTGTCGCAGTTTCGATGGCGGGGAATTCTGAACCTCTGTAGAAGAAACAAAATTTTCCCCGCCATTGTATAATTGTCGTATATACGACTTCGGAAATTCTGAACCGCTGTAGTATATANTATAGGATTTTTAAACTTGACTTAACTTTAACATCATAGTTTTTAGAAAAAGGGGCTCCCCCACCCCCCATGAAAAAATCCTGTAGTCACCCCTGAGTATGGTAGTAGTACGCTGACAATTCGGTGAGAAAGTCTACGATGTAGTATGTTGAATTCGGTGACATTTTTTCCGATATAGTATATTGATATCGGTGTATACCTCTCCGATATCGAATGTAGATTTTGGTGAAGAAGTCATCGCTGTAGTATATACTCCAAAGCACCGATGTCGAAGTGTAGATTTTGGAGTTCATTTGTGCGCTGTCGCATGTACGATTTCGTATATACGACAGATCTGGGTGTGATCCTTTTACTATACCGCCAAGACCGACATCGAACCAGGTGATCGGAGCTCCGCCCAACTCCAGCGAAGCTTGTCGTAGAACGAGGCGGTATAACCGCCGTCGGTCTTTATGTTAGCTGGGCACCATCGCACGTCTTTCTTTTCATGAAATATAAAAAATTTTAATCTGCATATTTAATATTTCAAATAAGTAAATAATGAGTTGTTTTAACTGCAGGAAATGACGTCATTATCAGTATAGGTAGAATGAACAATAGTCCAAACGATCAATAGTTCAAACGGCATTAGTTCAAATACGGATTCGTCGTCTTCGTTTTCTGACTTGTGGATTTCCGGTTGAGTCCAAACTTTAATTTATTTCTCCTACCTCACTTCCTGTACAGTTTGCTTCACGTGAAATGAACGGCGAGTTTTGTATGGTTCATTTTTAGGATAATTCCTGATGAGAGCTTGAATTTCAAGATTTGGACATGGTGAAATAATGTATTGAACATAGTGATAATCATTGTGCATTTATATTGTTCTATCTTAATTTAAGTTTTGGATTTATTATTCGAATTTTGTTATTAGAGTGAAAATGAAGTTAAATAAGATGGTATCCTCTGACAGGTCCAAGAGCAGGAAGCGTCACTTCTCTGCTCCTTCTCACGTGAGGAGGCGCCTCATGTCCGCCCCCCTTAGCAAGGTCAGAAATTGATTGTTATTTTCATTTGAGAAAGCCACGTTAGGTTTATTCCAAGAGAACGATTTTTGGACCCCCCCCCCTTCCTATCAATTTTGTACATGGGTGTGACAGGAAGTTTCTTAACTTAACCTAACCCGTGGCCGTAGCGCTCGGCCCCCTAGCCGGAGCGCTCGGCCCAGAAAGTTTCTTATCTAACCTAATCCGTGGCCGCAGCGCTCGGTCCCCTAGCCCATCCTAGCCGCAATGCTCGGACCAGAAAGTATCTTAGCCTAACCTAACCTCAAATTTGAGATGTATTATTGAATTTTAATGTATGGGGGGGGGGATTCACAATTCCGTGATATTCATGCACAAGATATTTACAATATGACTATTTTGCATTTTAAATTGTTTATAATTCCAGGAGCTGAAGGCTAAGTACGGAGTCCGTTCTATGCCTATCCGGAAGGACGATGAGGTTCAGGTTGTCAGGGGACACTACAAGGGACAACAGGTACCGAGGGGCATTGCTTGGGATAATGGAGGCCGGGGGATCAAATGTTTTATAAACACAATAATGGCACTTTCCTGAAATATATAATTTTCAAGAATTGCTCTCCACGCATCCAGAATATTTTCGGGAAGAGAGGACTTTCGAAAGGAGGGAAAAAATAGTGTTATTACTAATTTTCTCCTCGTACAAACGCAGGCTTTGTTACTGTTACTGATAAACTGATTTTGAAAATGAAGCGTTTTCCAAGTGCGATTCGCGCTTTTCTTGAACTAATTTCAACTTCAAGCTTAATTGTTGTTATTTATTAATGAATTGTTGCATCTCTGATGGAATTACTGTTCTTCTACCTCTGACTGTATAACAAATAAAGGTCCTTCCAGTCTTATCGCCTTCTGCTCATTTGTAACTGAAATAAGTATATTTGATAAATTGTCATAATCTTGTTTCAGGTCGGCAAGGTCGTCCAGTGCTACAGAAGCAAGTTCAGGATCTACATTGAGAGGATCCAGAGAGAGAAGGCTAACGGTGCCACCACAAATGTTGGTATCCACCCCAGCAAGGTATTACTTAGCATAGATGCTGATGACGGTGGTCAAGGTGTAGAATGATCTTCGGTCATAGTTCAATACAAAATCAAATTACGTCTTAATTTTTTACGTGATATTGGGTTCATTTGCGTTAAGGGTGAACTTAATTCTAAATATAAATATTTTATCTTGCTACCCTAACTTTATTTTGTGAATTTCCACATGTTTTTTGTTTTTCTTCTAAGGCCGTTCCTTCTCTGGAGAGCATTGAAGTCACGGAAGCGGCTAATAAATTTAGTTTAACTTTGCGACCTGAGCATTCGTGTCATAGTTAAATACACCTTATTTGTGATGAGAAACAAAACCTTGACTGCAACCATGATTGCAAAATACTCTAATTTTTTCCTGAAGCCAACTTAAAATCGTCCATGAAATGTGATCATTTTCTGATGTTACAAACTGAACTACTTGTAGGTCACCATTGTCAAGCTGAAGATGGACAAGGACAGGAAGGCCATCATTGACAGGAGAGCTAAGGGTAGAGCCGAGGCCCTTGGAAAGGATAAGGGTAAGTCATATTTGCTCACATTGGTGCAAGTTAGTATTTTCTCCTTTATACGATGTTCCTTGCAAAAGCTCATTTTCAGTGTACTCCCAGTTACACATTTTCTGTGGGTAGATTTCGCCCTAAAGGATCTTTTGTATTCAAATACAAGATTTGTTTAAAATTGTAAAAATTAACAAATAATTATTGTATTTTACGGTAATAAATTTAACAAAGTTAACTTCAAATTAGTCACAACACATCAAATGAATTTCATACTTAATAAAAATATTGCCGTTTTTAACATTCCTTAAAATTAAGTTTTTTTTGGTGTTCTGGTTCTTAATCTCGAGAAAATAAGCACTTAAAGAGAAGTCTGAACAATTTCGATCATTTAATGATCTTCTTAATATTTGTATTAATTTATTCCTCTTCAATATCACTTGGTGGCAACTTTGGTTGAGGGATCTAGATTTAAATTGCGCCCTAATCTGACGTAGAGATTAAGCCTTAAAAAGTTCAGACCTCTGGGTAACTAATCTGCTTTGTTCTCATGGATACACTTCGGTGGCAAGGAGCGTTGACCTCCTATTTCATATTGATGCTATTAGTAAATCAAGACCCGTAAAAAAATGAATAATTTTTATTTCGTTTCAGGCAAGTACACTGATGAATCTGCTGCCGCAATGGAGACTGCTTAAACTCTGTCTTCGTCGCTCCAGCAACTTCTTTAATCCCTGCTTATATTTCAGACTCAAAATGGGTCGCAGGCCTGCTAGATGTTATCGTTATTGCAAGAACAAGCCATACCCCAAGTCTAGGTTTAACAGGTATGAAATAGGATAGTTCGGGGG